TAAGCTTTTACTACCTTCCGAAATTGATTTTATATTACGTGAAGATAATTTAACTTCATTGATTTTTTTTAACAGAGAAACCCTTCTTACCCTGTGTTGCTCTCGATGTTTTGGAAAAAACGGTCACTTATGATTTTATATCAGTGTTATAATTGACCATTGCTTGTGGATTCATGGATATTATGGTCTGATACATGCCCACACTTAAAATCACAAAGTTGTGATAAACCTTGTGATAAAAGAAATGTCGAAAAATAAATGAAACGGGGGCTATTTTTAACTAGCACCAATGGGACAAAATATGATGTTTCCTTCCTAAATAACGTGGATAAGGGCAAAAATCAGCTAATTATTTAAAAAGATTTTTTTTTAACTTTTATAACACAACAATATCAAAACTAAATTTCAATTACCCGATCTTTTGCAAGCTAGACCCCTTTTTTTGTGCCAATTTGACTGTGCTAATATAAAAACATTCATTTTTTTTTTTTGAGGTGTACCGAAATTTGTAAATCACCTATTAAATTATTCAATATGTAACAGATAATATTCCTTGTTCAATTCATATTAAGCATGTTTTCAATGTACATCATATCCTTATATATTATCTTATCATTAGCAATACTAAAGATCTTATAAGGAAGACGCTAGAATTCATATTTTTTTTACAAAGATCTTTCGAGATGAAACCTGTCATTATTTTCGCCGGTGCTTCCACGCTCTAGCAGATATCTCCGTCTACTCTTTATATTCGTATGAAGGATCTTTCCTCCAGGATATGGTAATGGAGGAAGGCGGCTTGTTACCTTTTGAAACCTACCCTTAATCCTGTCCTTCCCGCTTAGGTGTTTTTCTTTCCAATCTGCCTACATCCACTATAGTGCGAGAATATGTAGTAATGTATACAACATATTTCTAAAAAAGGTACCTTGTTAATAAGACCAATTAAATAAAGACAATTTGAATTGTTTATTTGAATTAAGTTCGAAACAAAGACTAGTTAACAATTTAAATCGTATTAATTTGATAATTCTTTTCATACTCCGTTCTTTTAAAAATGTTGGGAAATGGCTTGATTTGGCCATATTTTGTTTTATTCAATGGAAAATTACATAACAGCTTGAAGTTTTTAACTTTGAATTATTATTTCGAGTTTTCTCAGGTGGACTCAAATTCTAATTTCATTCCTCTTCATCTTCAACTGTAAAATAAAAAATAACATTAATTAACATCGTAGCCAGAATTAGGGGTATATGTTTGTGAGTGTGAACAGCTTAATTCAAAAACAAAAAGTCCTACAAAAATTGAAATTACACATTTCTTTGCTCAATTTATCCATTAAATGAATGAAAGAATGCAAACTTGAAAAATAAGGAGTAGAAAATATAGCCTTGATCTGAATTTTCCTCCATCATGAAAAGTTGCTCGTCAAAATAGTAGATCAATCAAGCAATTGGTTAAAGAATTTGTTAATTGGTCACTGTCAGTTCAAATATGGGTATTTTGTATGCAGTCTCCTTGAATAGGGAAACAGTATGATAAATCAATATCAACAACAACAACAAGAATGCCCATCCGCATGACTTTAATTGATTAGCAAAAAGTCAACAGCTATAGAAGGCTACATAAAATACTCGAAGAAAAGCACAACCTTGTTTAAATTCATAAAGCAAGCGAGATATTAGATAATAATACTTGAAAAACTTGAATTTTCTTTAAAATACCCCACTTTACAAACTGTTTACGTTTACCGGATTATTCAGTTGTATGAATCTCAACACTTATTAATCTTCTTCCAAACGATAATGTTTGTTTGCCTCTGTAGCATTTCGCTGCTTGGAAATAATTCAGTCTTTACTAAGATGTCAAGGTGCGATTTCCCTATGATTTTGTTTTACAAGTTTAAACTCGTGCGGAATGGAGCTCGCCCAGACGGCCAGAAATATCAATCAAGTGTGGGGCGAGAGCAGCATTAATGAGTTCACTGTTCAACGATGGTTCAAACATTTTTGGGAGGAAGACTTCAGCCTTGAAGACAAAGAAGGTCGTGGAAGGACTTCCTCTCTTGATGACGATGTTCTGCTGGCTTTGGTGGAAGAAAACCCCAGAGCAACTGTTCGAGTACATGCTGGAAAACTTGACCTTGGCAAATCGACCGTCGATGACCACCTCAAAGCGATTGAAAAGGTAAAAAAGCTCGAAAGTTGGGTACTACACACTTAAACGACCTATAAAAAAAAACAGCGTTACATATTTGTGCTACACTTATTTGCCGAAACAAAAACAACCACTTGTCTCTCCAAAATTGTTACTTCTACTGACAAGTGGATACCATACAATAATAGTAGACGTTCTGGGTAGTGACTCGACAAAGGCAAAGCAGCAGAACATTTTCTAAAGCCCTCAACTCATTAAAAAAAGGGGATGGTTACTATTTGGTCGGCTTCATTTTATTTGATCCACTAAAGCTTCTTAAATCATGGAGAAACCATCAATGCGAAATCGCAATGTAACCAAAGTAATGCATTGCTTCAGAAATCGGTAATAAAACCATCTTTGGTCTTTTGTTGCATGACAACGCTCGCTCACATACCTCACGTGTGACTTCACAAAAACTGGAGCTTGGATATGAAACTCTGCTACATCAACCCTACTCTACGGATCTCTCACCTACAAGTAGTCATCATTAATGAGCACCTCGCAAAGATGTTAGAAAAACCAATATTCATCAAAAAAATACATAGGTGATCTATTAATAATAACAAAAGAAAAACAAGACGAATAATTATTAAATTTATTGAATAACGTTAATAAAAAAAACAAATTACTGTTGAAAAACCTATTGACAATAAAATTAGATATCTCGATATAAATATCATATATGATAGAAATAAAATAGAAACTTTTTGGACAAAAAAAGAAAATTGCAGAGATAGAATCCTTAATCATTATTCAAATCATCCAAATGATGAAATTAAAAATACCGCAAAAAATGTAATAAAAAATTATAATGTCACCTGATAATAAATGTTTAAAAGAAATAAAAACTGATTTTTTCAAAATTTGTGTAATAATTTTTACCGTTTCAAATATATAAAAAAGCTTTGGTATGAAAGTCATCAGGAGATTAATAATGCTTATAGAAGTAAACAATGCCTTGAAAAAATAATTTTAAAAACTATAATCGTAATAATAATTGGGAGGCCCTCCTGGGGCACACCCAGCCTCTATAAAGTGGGTACCCTTAATTAAATAATTGATTAAGGGGAAAAACCTGGCGGTTGATCGTGATCTCGGTCAAATCACCTCCTTGCACAACCGTTGACCTAGAAACAGTGCTTTCCCTAAATAGTACTGAACTCCAGACCCTTCATGGATTGTAGTGGTACAGTTTTTTTTTTTATAATTATAATAATAACAAAAGTGTTATAACTAAAAAAACAAACAAAAAAAATGGTGTTTGATAACAGATTTTTTAAAAATCATTAAAAATGACAAGGAAAAATTAATGGACAAAGTGAATTAGAAAATACGTTTTTGGAGTTAATCAATTCTAAAGATGGGAAATTCTATTCCGAGGAAATGGAAAAGTTGTCAACATACAGTTTTTTCTTTTTAAAGCAAAATCCAGCAATATTTTTCAGACAACCCAAAAAAAGGTTCGATGCCTACACCACCAATCGCTTATTACACACCTCGTTCCGCCGGTCGCCGCCGAAACTCAGTCCTTTCAGATCGGCCTCAACGCATTCTTCCCATCTTCGCTTTGGTCAACCATTCGGACGTTTACCAGTCGGTACAGCAAATATTAACCTTTTACGAATTCTTTTGTCACTAGATCCAACAGTTTTACAAGCCCATTTAATTCTCCACGATGTATTCATCTCAATTATATTAACCGCAAACAGTTCACGGAATTCCGCCTTGAGTAACCTTCTAAATTCTCCGGTTAACTCGTCCCTCCTCGGTCCGAATATTCTACGTAATACTTTATTTTCAAAAACCTTAAGACGATGATTATCCCTTAATATAAGCAGCCACGTTTCACATCTTTAAAGAACCGTGAGTAGGATGATGGTTTTATAGATTCTAGTTTTTAAGTTCCGAGACAGGTGGCCCGAGCTATGTAGTTTTGTCACTGAAATTGAACAATAGATAGATTCGAAAACAAAAATGGATAAGGAAAATAGAACAAATAAGTCTAAAATTAAATGAAGATAAAACAAAATAGATAGTAATGAGCTCAAAACCAATTTTATCTCAGTATCAATTTTGGGTCACAAAATTTGTTAAAATATCTCTTGAATCTCTGTTCAATCACACTTTCTTTCAGTTTAGTTCTTTCTATACTTTTCCTCCAGTTTTCTATGACGGAAAGGTATAAACTATATCAGGTATAAATTGATTTATGGATATGTAGGATTTTCGTCTTGTCCGTTCTTCGTAAAGCTATCTTAATTGAATTTGTCAGATAATTACCAAAGCTGCAAATTACGGCAGATGATTTTTGTATGCATCCTTAGAAAAAGGTTTAATGAACATTTTTATTACAATAAGACCTTGGCAGTCGTTGGTGTAAGGTACTTATCCTATAAAATAGCAAAATTTTAGAATTTATTGAAAAAGAACGAATTTATTTCACTTTTTTAGCAAATTACACTACAAAAAATTATTTTTAAAACTCAAACAAACAAACAAAAAACACCAAAAATATATTTAATAATATAATATAACAAGTTGTTAGGAAGAAAAAGGCTTTTTGTCTATACTTTATTAAAAATCATGAAAACCAATATGTTTTGTCGGCACTAAACTGTTACAATATATGAGTTAACTTTTGGTACATCCCAAAATAAAAACATAGGAAATTTAAATTATCAGGATACCACGAAAATAAATTTTTGTGCCGTTCTCAGGCTGCCATACGCAACGCCAATGGTTGGTCCGGCTCTACTGTAACATCCTTTGATGACACAAAAAAATAAATGAACTTTGAAAAATCTACTTACAACATTCATCGTGGAACCTGATGACCTTATACCATCGGTCAAGGAGATACAATGTCACCCCGATTGTTGGTCCATAAATGCCATTTCTGTTTGTGATGTTTCCAGGCAACCCAAGGTCAAGACAATTGTACTGAAACAGAATATCACTCTTTTAACCATGATAATTTACGCCATTTAGGTAATTTATATAAAATATTATATGTATCTTTTAAATACAATTTTTATGTATACAAAATATTTTAAAAAGTAACATTTTATATATTCTGTTTACATATTAATTAATACTAGTGTTCGCCCAGTGGTCGAAATTCGACCATAGCCATTAAAAATTTGAGGAAAAGATTTAATTAATTAAAAAAATAAAGTAAATAAATAAAGAGTAAATCACGATTCAAAAATCCTCATTTATTAATACAAAAAAAAATTCAATTTCAATTAAAAATCGACCTTAAGTAATTAAAATTGTTTATAAGTAATACATAATATACTTATTCAAAATATTTAATTTTCATTTTAATTTATGTGTGTTATTATCACAATAAATTAATGTTATGACTAAGCAAGTAACAAATAAATTTAAATCAGCAATTTAAATTCACTTTAAATCCATTTTCATTCAGAACTTCTATGTAAATAATGTTCTTTTTGAATGTTCTATTATTGTATAGCCATGCCTATTGCCATTGAAAGTATAAATAAATTTCAATATTTCAAATGAACGTGCTCTAATTGCTGTATAATATAATTGTCCATGCGAAATTACTGGACGTCACAATAATATAAACATTTTTCCAAAACTTTTATCCTGCGATTGATTATGGTCATAGTAAATGCAGCTATTAATAGGAACGTTGTTCTTTGAAAGTCAAATGTAAGTATAGTGTCAGAAAATGTTAAATTAATTCTTGGAATTAAAATTCTTTAATTTAAAGTAGCCCCCGTTAATACTTCAGTCTCATTCCTGTTCCATCAACTAATGCTTGTGCACTATTTAAGTTAACAATGAGCATAACTATAGAGTATATTTTTAAATTTAATTTATTATGTATCATTCAGCTAACATTAGATGATATCATCTCTTCAAATAATAGACCCAATTACCTCAGAAAATGAAAAGTTTTCGATTTACCAAAAAATAAAATAAATGAAATCTAATTTGGAAGAGAAAGAAAACGTACTAAATGTTTAAAATGATATATCTCTGTAACAAATAGTCCGATTTCGATGTTTTTTTTTTAGTTTGTAGGAAATTCAAGAATCTTCTTTATAAAAATGTATGCAGCTTGTTTTCGGGAAAGTGTGTTATATACATAAATTATAAAGGTTTCAAGGGGAAGACTTTAGCCAAGTTTCATTGAAATCATTGAAGCCATATTGGTGCTACATTCTAAAGCGAATCACGTTTTTCGGCCGCGATTTCGAAAAGAAAGGCCCGATGATAATGGAACGTATACAAAAAAACTTCTAAATATTATTGCGACGTTGTGAAAAAATTTAAAAAAAATCGGTGAAGAACTTTCGGAGATAAGCCGTTTTGAACAAACTACCATTTATATTTTTATTCACATACTATTTAATATTTTTATTTATTGATAACACTAAAGCTTGTTAAACAAAAAAAGAAGGAAGAAAATCGGTTGGATAATAGAGGAGTAAAAGGGGCTGAACCGAATTGTGTTTGCCTATTTATTATAATGATTTCTCAACATTTCACTTATTTATAATTTAAAATAATAGTGGGACTGGTTTAGGAAAGACTTCTCTGTCAAACTTTATTTTCTTTCTCTATGTCACGTAGGTTTTTTTTGTCCTATTTGAAAATGAAAGAAGTAGTGATTCTAATGTTGGAATAATGTTATCCACCAAGGTATGAATCACTTCAATACTACGGGATAACATCGAAGCTTGTATATATTTCTTGAGAAACACTTCACAAATCAAATTGAAAAATCGTTCTAAGACCATTTCGGATTTTCGAGACATTTTTGCGATTTCCGTAAAAAAATATTATTTTTACAGGAATTTTTTATTGTAGGTAGACTACCTAAGCTCTAAAACATGTTCCACGACGCACAGTGATTCAGGGGCGGGGAAAACTCTTAAAATAAATGTATGCCATATCAAACCTAGAACGTAGGCCAGTAACTATTTTCTTTAAATTCCTCCCGGTTGAGCCCTTAAAAATACAAATCGAAGAGCAATATTTAGTGATTTTACAATACAAATAACGGTATTTACAGATATTTTTAATAATTATTTTAGGACTTAATAAGACAGACGTTATTGATTTTTTCTTTGGTCATATTTAAGGACAACTTCCTATAAATAAAAATTAAATTTGATACAGTCTTAGAGTTCTTTGTTTTTCATTGTCAAAAGTATAGAATAATCGAATTAAACGTTTACTAAGTAAGTTTTTATTTAAATCTTTCTAATCTTCAAAATTTTCGCCCAATAATGTTGACTTAAATTATTAGATTTATTTTTAATTTAAAACATAATACAGTCATATTAACAAAAATATGTAAAGCTATCGCTTTACTTTTCATTTTTCTAAATGCATTATGTTTCGAAAAAAAAGTGTAAGAAACGAAGAAAAAAAAAACACTTGTGCAATTAGAAGGAACAATTATTTAGTTTTTAATTTGAAAAAGTATATTGAAGATTGATTTTATCAAATAAAATAGTGGCTCTGTACTAAAATCAATTTCTCATCAAAGTTGTTAGTGGTACGTTGTGTAGTGCACACTGCGCATCATATTTTTATGCACACTTAGAATGAAATAAAAATAAAAGAAAATCTTATTAATCAATCGGTATAAAAAAAACAAGGATTTTCTGTTACCTCTGAGAACAAAATTGTTGTAAATGAACATTTTAATTTAGTAATTTTAAATACTTAAAACATGGAAACGTAACACATTGAGAGCAACATTACTTTAAAACTAAAAAGAAGATTGATGACGTAAGTGAAAATTAATAGTATAATAGAAATTGCTTAGCTATAAAAGCTATAAGTTCGTTTTGAATCAGAAAATTTGTGATTTAAAAAAATTCAAGATTTGGAGCAATGTTAACCCTGAAAGCTGATACTACTCCATTTCACGGTAGCCGCCTATTATAATAAACAGTAAAATTGATAATAATAAATTACAACACCAAAAATATTATACCATTTCATAAACGACACCGTTATCCAAATACCCAGTATATATAGATCTGAGGAGTTTCTGAGCAAAAACCACTGCCTCGGACTTTCCACCTGGAGTCCCTAGTTCCCTGAGGCCATCAGCGAGTAAGGCATGAAGTCCTGGGTTGCTATTCGGAAAGTCCCAAGGTGCACCAGTTTGTCTTTTCGTTACAGGAACTCCACCTTACTCGAGCAAATATCATAGTTAACAATTTATGGGAAGTTTAAAAAGAAAATTTCATAATTTGTGTTATCTTAAATATTTTAAAGCCATTAACATAACTTATTATATATATATATAACGCAAGATAATTAATTTTTAGCATATATATTAATTGCATCAACAGCAACATATCAATATATTTTTATTTTCTGCTCCTCAACAGAATAACATGTATCCTTTTATCCTCGTGTGTATATACATTTTTTATCTTGTTGTGTAATATAGGTTTAATAATACACCGTTTGCTGGATGAGAAGATTTCTTCTACAACTATTGATTTTTAAATTTATACAACCCCCATAAAAATCAGACTGAAACGACCAGAAACCACCCGACGTTTTCGACTACTGCAGCACTTAATAGACAAAAGCTCTAAACTTCCACCTATTTACAAAATACTCATATATATTACTATAATAAGGCCTATTTGGACTTACGGGATCGAGCTTTGGGGATCTACTAAACCATAAAATTCCTCTAGTATCCTTTACTTACAATCCAAAATCCTTCGTAAAATTCTCAATAAGAGATCTCAAAAAAGAAAAACGGTTAATATGATGCATTTTTATTTTTAAGGACCAATAACAAACAAAAAAAGTAAAAAACTTCCTCAAATTTAAAAAGTTTGATTTTTCATGTTTATATATTTCTATCATCATTTGCATACTTCGGAAATTAAATATGAGTATTTATTCAAACCACTCACGAAATCAAATCAAGTAAATGAAAAATATATATAATCCAATATTTTTTTTGCGGAATTCATTATTATTTAATGAAAATGTTGGATACAGAAGTTATTATTATTTTCTTAAATTTGGAGTGTCTTGTTCTTTAGAATACGACTAATTAAATGAATCCACTACGAGAAAATCATGTTAAAAAAAAAATTCTTCAAAAAAAGAAAGAAAAATTTCATATAGTTATAATTTAATTTAAATAAATAAAATAACAATCCTATGTGGGATTCCCTTGGCAAGCGGGGGTCCCAAGGGACATCACTGATCAGATTGGGCCACGGGCGGATATACGGGGGGGACTTTCGGGCTGAAGCCCCCCTCCCCCCTTCCCCAAAATGGTAAAATATAACCATGTTTTATGGAAAAAAAATTTAAAAAATACCTCTTAAAGTATTATTGTTCGTGTAATTAGATTTAATAGGACTTAAGGAATCACTTAAACACCATTTCATATAGGTAATTAGTTTCTTTCTGTTTTTCCAAAGTAATTGTCGTTATTTTTATGAAAAAAAAAGCTTTCGAGCTGAAGCCCCCCCCCCAAAATTAAATCCTGGATCCGCTAGTGGATTGGGCTGATATTAATATAAACATAAGGAATCTAAGACTTCATAATACCTGTAAAAACATGAGTTACAACGACTATTATTATTTTGAATTTATGAAAGAAAATGGACTTGACGAATTTTTTGATTAGCCCACTCAACTATATTACAAAACTTTAGTATCGAAATCCCTTTATATTAAATTACCTTTATATTGGTCAATTTTGTTAGAATAAATATATTCCAGTACAGCTTTTGTCATCTGAACCTTCCCTTTTGAATATGATCTTGACCACAAAGGAGCCAGATTGGATATGTGAAAGTATTTCCTCGATTTCTCGTGTTCTAAATCATAATCTAACCAAACTTGTTCTTCTTCATTCCACAAAACCTAAATGCAGATGTCTATCTTTATTATCGCAGTTGAGAACGATAAAATTATAATATAATTTATAATGGACTAATATATATATATATATATATATATATATATATATATATATAATATATATATATATATATATACATATACATATAATCGCTAGTAGGGTGGTCTGGGCCTAATTGTTAAACATACATCATTTGTTATAGAGAATTCGAACCGGTGCTCTAAATTATGAACTCTATATTAAAAGAAATGTTATTTGTATGTTTTAAAAATAATAAAATAATAATTGCGTTAGCTAAAATATTTATTTATAATAAGCAGAAAATATTCAAAATACCATTTCAATAGAGACGAGGAGATCCTTGGACAGTATTTTATAATGATTTGCTTTAGGCTGGTTTCCGAGTTTTCTGAACCATTTCCTTAGTAGGTTGTAGGCATTATGAATGTATGCATTAAGATCTACCGGGACAATGTGATGTGTATTGGAAGGCATCAGGTTTCCTGTAAATAGATAAATAAAAATATTTGTTGATGAGTTTTAATAAAATATTTAATCAATAATTATTTATTTTAATTTAATTTAACACAATCCCAAGGGGATATGATTTATATAATGTTGGATTTAAGAAACGATTTACGTTACTATAACATTATGTTACATGTAGTTTTTGTATGAAAGTAATGAAGTCTTGCAGTGCGCTTGAAAATGGCGACATAGCCGAAACGTTGCCATTAGAATGAAAGATGAAAAAAATAAATGTGGTGGAATAAATACAGCCTAAACCTTTATTTTATCTAAATTTAATTTATATCTCTGAATCTATAATTAATGTATGTAAGTATTCCGTACTATATATATTTTTTTTATAGTAAAAACAATAAAAAACAAAAATTTAAAAGTGTAGGAAGAGAAACATGAGTCCAATAAAACATTTCTGAATATGAAAAGGAACCACAAAATGTCAACAATAGATATTTTTATTTCATATAAATTTATAGAGTGTAATATTTATAATTGATTTAGGGTATATTTTATTTTATTAAGGGTTGGATATTTTATTTAGATAAACAAATATTTGGCAATATATAAACTAGTTAAGAGGAAAACAATAGTACAAAAAAAAAAATGCAAAACAAAATTATAAAATAATAGAAAAATAACACAATAAATGAATGCAGTTATTCCCTTCATCAGTACCTCAGCAATCATCTAGTCTGACCTTAAAGTTTTGTGGTAGTAAATAGTCATTAGATCTGTGAATGGAAATTAACAGTCAGTCTGTGATATACAATATTGTTACGATATGTTACAGTTGCTGTCACGAAAGGAATGTCTTGGTTAGTGTTTAACGTCTCAATAGAAACATACAAAATGTCTTTACAATTCTTCTAAGAACTTTGGATGTGAATTATTGATTTTAGTTGTTGTTTCTGTGTGCCTTGTTTACCATTAGTGTCCATGAAATATGCATCTATAAAACGTTTTTAGACACAAAAGTAGGAGGGAAAAATATCTGAAACATTTAGAGAACTCAGATCTTTCAGTCATAAGTGATAAATTGTGGACATACCAAACTATGTACTATTAATATTTTCTAAACAAGGAATTTTATATTCTAAAAGTTCAGATACTCTCACACAAGTCTACGAAAAAATCCTTCACAGACTGACATTCAATATAAATCATTCAACACAAACACTTAAATTCAACATGAACTCATACATCCACATCGACGAGTGCCGAGGCGTTGGTTAAGAAACTCGCTAAGTTAGCCACTCCATGCAAGAAGGAACTGCCTGTTTAATATATTTTTTTTTTTTATATTAAATAAGAAGTACCCTTTGATATACTCTCATCGTTACACCAGCGAGAAGATATGGGCCAAGCCGACTCACAAGAACTGTTCAAGGCCATCAGATATTCACTATGCTCCTTTGGATCAATCCACTTTAGCATCATGTTGTCATCCCTGGAGAAGTAAATATTCATATAAATAAATATTAAATATTGGGCAACTCGGGAACAAACCCGGGGCGTCGCACAGTGGGGACCAATCGGCGATCTAAGAGGACGAAAACAACTTTCAAAATATGATAAATGGAATATATTTTCCTTTTTATAGATACCAGGTGACCTAAAAAGTGGCCTAGTAAAATTTCAAAGTTCGTTTAAACTTTCACAGTAGAGTACGGAAGAGGGAGGTTTAGGCGAGCAGGTCTTCAGTCCCAGTAGTTGATAAATAGTTCAAGCATTACTTAATTTATAGTCTAAATCAATACCTGTGTGCGTTATAATTCAGTAAATTATCTTTCTTTTTCACTGGATTAATTTAGGTTCAGCCAGTTTGATGATGATTACAATTGAATTAAAAAATGGCTTTGATCAATTATTTGAAATACATAAATAACCCTTATTTATTCTAAAAAATACTGTCCCCGGTATCCCGGCGCTACAATTTTTTTTTTCATTTTTGTAAAAAATAATCATCAAATTTTGTGCAGATTTGCGCTAAGCACCGTTTTTTTTTTTTTATATTTCAGAAAACGTAAACTAAAGTTTTGGAATAATTTTTTTTTAATCTTATGAAAACATTATAAATCATATAATAAAATTTATACTGGTTTAAAAGATGTGTGAATGTAGCCCTGTTTACATAAAAAATAAATGAGCAAAAAATTATATACTTTTTCATTAGAAGAAATTTTACATAGCTGAAGCATATTTTCTAGATCTAATAACAACTGATAACAACAACCAGTCTTTTTCGGCAGGTTTCGAGGGGACAAGCAGGTCGAATAATTTTTTTTTTTTTTGTGTTTGCTTTGAAAAACTAATGTGCGGAAAGCAAATGATATTTTCTTCTCTCTTCTCTATGGAAGCGAAATCTGGGTCCCACAGGACAAGCACTGGAGCTGAGTAACAGCCGCAGAAGTGAGATACCTGAGGAGAGTGGCTGGCCGAACAGGAAGAGATCTGGTTAGAAATAAGCGATTACGAGAGGATCTGGGAGTTTCAGGTGTAACAGAAGTTGTTGAAAGAAGGCAGCTGAAATGGTTTGGCCACCTTTGCCGAATGGAGGAAGATCGGGATCTAAGAAAGTTCTTCTAAGCTAGGCCGACTGGAAGACGTCCCCAGGGCAGATTTGGCTAACGTGGAAGGACCACATCTCTAAGCTGGGACTGCAAAGAGGAAGCGGGCTGAATGCCATGTAGGCACTGGCCAGATAACGTGGCTGGTCTGGTAACGTGGCATGGTCTGAGGCATCTCCACTCTGAAAGGCACAAGGAACAAAAAGAAGAAGAAGTAAACACGGAAAGAAAAAAACGAAGGAAATAAAAGGTAAATTAAAATTGCAGTTAGGAAGCAATATGAGGGATTTCAGCCAGAGAGTTAACTGTGTAATGATGATGCTTGTAAGGTTGATTAAATAGATTAAATAAATTTGAATAATTCCGCACTGGTATTATTTTTAATAATATTATTATTAATAAAGGAAGGAGATGGTCCGGGGTGGTGGTCATAAATAGGCTAAATAGTGGTAAAGCTATTTTTATTAAAAGCCATTCTTATTTAAAGTTATAAACATATGTTTTGCTCAAGTGAAAAATGGCATGACAGGGCTTATAATAGAAATAGTTTTACCACTATTTAGCCTAATAATGACCGCCACCCCGGACCATTTTCTTCCTTTATAATGCAACGGTCAACAATTAAATATTCAATATTATTATTATTAATGTTTTATTAATTCTTATGATTTTAAATTTTAATTTTCTTAAAAGTTAAATTTTTTCCTCAAATTTAAGTTATGTTGACTTAATTGCGACTATAAAAGTTTTGTATGTAATTATTTGCGAAGAATACGCGATTTCCAATCGACAATTATGCTCTATGAATTTCGTCCTCCTATACCGGCTTTTGGCCCCACTTTGCGCCTTGTAATTTATACATTTATAAATTTGCTTGATGTATTTATACTAATACAGTTGGAAATATCATGATAAAAAAATTAAAAAAAAAAAAATTCAATATCGAAATTAATAATTTCTGATGAGAGTAGAGGAAAATATTGGTATATTTTCAGATTAAGCTAGTTTAAGATTTTATCCGAGTGTGAACGAGTGAATATTTATGGAAATTGTGTCGTATATATAAAAAAATTAATTTTCTTTTGTATAAGAAAATGCTAAAATTATTAACATTTTTCGTCTAACGAAGAACAAACACAGCACTATTTAATAACTATTTAATTGACAAATTATATAAACAAACAATTTGTTGAGGTAGTTTACAGTGTACATATGTTATAATTTAACATATGATCGACCACTTTCATAATTGGGATTATTAGTCTTTATTTGGATAATGAATGCTTTAATGACACCATCACTGTTTTTCCAATCGTCACGCTTGCTTGAGAGAGGTAGTCGATTTGAGTTAAGTTAAAGCCTTACCCTTTTGGAGACATTGTCATTGAAAGTGAATTATATCCTTCATATAACAGATATTAATACACAATCGCTTCATAAATATTGCTATTCGATGTCATTGTGCACAGCAATTAGGCACAAGAAAACAAAGGATAGTGATAACCACTAGCGGATCCAGGATTTAATTTTGGGGGGCTTCAGCCCGAAAGATTTTTTTTCATATACGTATAACAATAATTAATTAGAAAAAAAAGAAAGAAATTAACTACCTATATGAAATGGTGTTTAAGTGGTTCTTGAAGTCCTATTGAATGTAATTACACTAACAAGAATACTTTAAGAGCTGGATAGTTGTTAATATTTTTAGCGAGATAGCTTTTAATATTTTTTTCTGCAAAACATGGTTATGTTTTACCATTTTGGAGGGCTTCAGCCCGGAAGCTCCTCCCTCCCCCAGTAGATCCGCCTGTGGTGATAACCGTCGGAAGGAAACAAAAAACGTGTATAAAATAGTGCATTTCTATCAAACTATTTCGATATTCGGCGTTTAGCGTTGGACATCGGTCGTTCTCGTTTGTTGAGAAGAACAAAGCTAATTTTACTCTAGGACGTTTAGTCTCTTAAGAGTAACAAATATGTACATTGATAATTACATTATAACATATATTTGCCTGGCACATAATGGTATACAAATAATAATCATTATTAGGTTACAAAGTTGTGTTACATTAAAATTAAAAGAAAGTGCTATTATATACATATAATTTAATGTAATTATTGGTAAATTGATATTTGTATGTTTATATATTTGCACGGTAAACAATATAAATACTATTTTTGAATTAACAGTAGAATGAAAGTGGTAAAATATTTAATTCTTATAAATATTCGAAGACTGATGGCTGAGGAGAAGGAGGAACAATTGGTCTTTAAATGATCTTAATGATGAGATTTTGTTTATGGAGGTGGGTAAGGAATTCCAAAACAAGGTAGCTCGCATTGTAAAGATTTTTTTTTTAAACTGTCTTATGAGAAGGAATATACAGCTTTGTGGGCTGGGATCTCGCATTGAAATAATGGATCGAGGAACAAGGAGTGAACAAGTCAAGAAGGTATGAAGATTTTTTGGTTGTAAAGATTCGGAAAAGGAATACGCCAATTTTTCTAAAACGGACATCTCTCTATAGCGTGCAATTTTTTATTCTCAGTGAGTGACCGTTTCTTTTGAGAAGTTTCATTGCAGTAACTAAAATGGACTAGTATTACCAACCATTTAGTCTTAATTTTTATTTATGTTTTGTTTTGTTATCTTGCTCCGGTCCTTGCAAATGATTAATTTTTAGGGCGGGTTGTCCGAGCTGACTAACGATTGTGCACAGCACTGCGCGTTACCCGGCAACCTGATAACCGAAGTTGGAGACAATAAAATAATTATGAGTTAATTATGACTGCCCGGGGGTCTTTTAACTCTGTCATAAATCCCCCGCTCTCGTCCATGGCCCGTGAAAACCACCGTATAACCTAAAAGGCGAGGTAGGAGGAGAAAAAAAAAAGATCAATTTTTTATTATTAATTGGAAAGCTAAACGGAAATATACAATTCCACTAGAAAAAACAACGCTGTTTAGATTAGATGATTAAAATGTTCAAGTACCATACTATATCTGAAAATAGTATCAGTTTGACTTAACTGTAAGACCTGCAAGACTAGCAGGGTTTGGTCTTGGTCTTGGTCTTGCAACAATTTTTGTGGTCTTGGTCTTGCAAAACTGCAAGACCAAGACCAAGACCGATTTTGGGCAACACTAGACGTGATGTAAGACCAGAAGTTCTCAGTATGCCCCATCAATTATTTGACAAAATAATGAGGACAAATCAGTTACATGCTTATTTTGTTAAATTCGTGTCTGGATTTTCAATATTCCAAACAGAAAATGTAACAATGTCGTTCTGTTACTCTGTTCCCTAACTCAAAAGTATTTTAACTTTTTTGACATCCTTTTATCTATTTATTCATTTACATTCAACGAATAACTAGGAGAAACAAAATAAATAAACTTACACATAACTTTCAACTCTAGGAAACACGCTTTCAGCATGGTAGAGGTAGAGTACGTGCTCATAATTTTCCTTTCTCAATACTACTGTTCTTTTTTCCCTCCAGTATTTCAATTCTTCTTCGACAAACTGCAGATTTCATCCAAATAAAAGATTTTTTTTAGAGAAACGCTAATTTTACATAATATAGTATTTAAAATCTAAAATAGTCTCCGGTATTAATTGCTATTCAAAAACCAATCCCAACCAGTGCATCACAATAATCATTCAATGTATTAGAATTCTCGAACGGGAATTTAGGAATGCGAATGATATTTATAATGTTAAAAATGATAAATTTATCAAATTAATGGTTACATAATGGAACACATCGAAGAATCAATTTCTCCTTTTATGATATCGGGTTGAACTGTCATCATTGCCCCCATGAGCAGAGGTTTTGTTGTTTTCGGAGATTTTGACGACAGATAGTTAAATTTCAATTCTATTTCTTCGGAATTACTTTTGTACGAAGAATGCGGCGTGAGCAGGTTTATTGCAATATCGTCATTTTTTATACTGTCCAAAAAAGGAGCTTCGTTATAGTCGTTTATAGTAGATTTATAATCAATAGTTAAACTTGGTTCTGCAAGTCCTTTTGAATCGTCTTCATTCAGGAGATTTTGGTGTTCATCGTTTTCTTCCACTGTCGCCGTTTCAAGGTTGGAAAGGGGTTCATGGAAAGCCATTTCACTATCAAGATGATTTATATCGTCTTTAGAAAGATCAACTATTTCCATTTTTGGAAGTATTATGACAACCTCATCTTTGTCAATATCTTGAAAATCTGTCGAGGATGGCCCATTGTTTATTTCTTTATTGGGTAAGTCGTTAACATTTTCATCAGTAATAACTTTACTAGAAAGAACAGTGTTAAATATTTCTACAGTTGACCCTGTCTTCTTGTCAAAAGGAATATTAGTGTGGGTACTGTCATTGGAAATCTTATTTAGATCATCTTTTTGAGAAACCTCCTTTTTCATATCCATTTCTACATGCAACCAAGAAACATTATGTTCGTTCTCTTTCAGGCAACATATCGGATGGCACAATTTTCGATTATGTACTACGGCATTCTTCAAGAGCCATTCGTCTGTTATGTCATCATAAAATTGGTTTATCTCTTCGTGGCATAATGAACACTTCGGCATCAGTCCGAAATCCTTTGCAGGGACTGTGAGCTTTTCATATATTGAAAATGGGTCGAGACTTTTTTGTTTATCAAACCAGCTTATGTGACCCATATCCTGTTCACTGCGAGGAAATTCTGAAAGATGACACCACCAGTTTGTTTTTTGATCTAAACTGTGTCTCTTGATTTGATAATGCCAATCCAAATGACTGGCATATACTCCACTTTTCCGCGTAAATCTTAGTGTACAAATATCACATTGTGCCCCCGAGTACAATTCGTTAACGATTCTCATGTTACGAAGTTTCAAAGTTTCAGGTTTAGAAAATTCAACAGTTATACTTTTGGATCTGTTATTTTTATGTTGTTTCTCGCATGTTGGAGATTGAATGATGCCGTTTTCGACGAGTTTCTGATACAGGTTCATCACATCTATACCGGTTGCATCTTGGGGAGTGCTTTTTTGACTATTCGCATTTTCGGATGATAAATTTAAATTATTATTTTTCGTCATAGAAACTTCGCTATTTGCTGCTTCTCCGTGGTGATGGTAATTGAAATTATAATGATTGTTATTTGCTATCATAGTTAGAGATGTCAAGTTGGGGTCATTCCATGGTAAAATTGAAGGGAATAAAGTCCTTATTGCAAAGTCAGTTTGTTTATTCTCCATATTGACAATGTGTACGAGACCCGGCACTATTCCAGGAGGAAGAGCTGAAAACCTCAACAAGTGGATTTCATTGTACAGCTTTACAGCTATCGGCGCACCGCCAAAATCAGTTTTGAATGGCCTTTCATTTATACAAACTGATTTTAAAGAATCGGTAAACTTTAATACGAATGGGACACCATTGATATCGAGTTTTTGAGGTTTTGAGTCGAGGTAAATATGAAATATGTTGTTCAAATCTTCGTCAATAATCAAATTTATGCGACCAGCCATAATGTCGCTACGCTTAACGTTACCAACATACACCTTGGGACTAGGGCCACCAAGTTGTATCTTGTGATAAGTATTTCCTACTAATACGTTGACAGGTGGACCACCAAACTTGACTTCAACAGGTTTGCCATCGATATAGAAATCTCTGGTGGGAGTACCCAAACGAATTTTAATAATGGACCCATCAGGAAAAGTATAATTAGTATAGGGGGAGTTGAATGAAAGAATGAGAATATCTTTCTCGTCTATGATGACTCTCCTTGAAGAAGACTGAAAGCAGACGTCCCTTGGGTCGTTCCAGTCCATCATGACGATGGATTTCTCTCCGTAGAAGCGTACCTCTCTCAGTTTTCCTTGAACATTGATGTAACCCGTTGGGTCGTTCAGGATCTCCTCAAGCACCTTAGGATCAGCAGGAGCCACATTCCCCATTTGGCCCACTTCCTGCGATGTAGACGATGACATGACAGATGGAATTTGTAAAGAATTATTCGTACGTGGAATTTTAGCTGGCTTTTTACATATGTTTGTATGGAATGGTAGGTGTTTATACCGATTAGTATCTCTAGGTTTATACCACTGTTGTTTGAAATTTTTTAGCATTTCAGCTGAATTCTTGGCTGAGTCTGAACATTTATCATGAGATGAATCGCTATTTTGCTCAAAACTCAAACCTGAATTTTTCCAAGATTGTGAGCCATCTATGGTCCAACCTAACCCATTCGCCAATGTTGAATTGAGAATATTTGAAGGATCTGGTAAACTGAAGAAAGGAGGAAAAATATAGTTTAATTCATTTTTTTCATGTGAAGTTTCTTCCATTTTATTATAATTTTTTTTTCCAATTTTCTATGTACTCTCAAAACATTTCCAACAAGCAGTGCAGTTTCAATACGTCAATTTTTGACCTGGTAATTGTACATTCATATCTTAGAAAACAAAGCTGAAGGAAGCAAGTGGTACAGAAATGTTCTATACACACAAAAAAAATAAATAAAAAATTAAGATTATTTTGAAATGTATAACATATTTTGAATTTTTAACATTATAATGATGAAACATATGGAAATTTAAAATACATATTCGATATTATTAAACAATAAGTAATTTTAATAAATAAAACAAATACAGCTTGTGGTTGAATGAGGGAAAAATGCCTCTAGTTAAAATCATAATTGGGTATATGCATAAGATAAATGTGTACAGTACATTTGAGCTGCAATTTTAAGATCGATATTACACCATTCAAATAGTAAAAAAGGTTCATATTTAACTAAAATTCGAAATAATAGTGCATAGTGGGAGTTGTCTGTGGGATTGGTCTGAGTCGACCATTGCGTGACGTATACGGCTGCCAAAAACGATACCTCTCTCAGCTCTACTTTATAAACATGCATTTATAAATGTTAATCAAATACATTTTAACTAAATATTTAGTTACTTCATGAAAAGGGGAGAGAAAAAACGGAAAGGTATTTTTTGAATGGATGTTGGAAACACTTTGTTGACCAAAAAAAATCTGGTGTGTCCACTCACACGATTTTCCTACCGAATTTAGAAAAATAATATAACTTTAAATATGCCCTAATAATAATAATAATAAGTTACAGTAATTTTACTGAAAACCGGTTAGAGAAATGAAGATTAGAAATAGTACGATTTGTTTGATGAACTAAAGCAATGTGAACAGGAACGTAAAAGGTCATTAAAATCAGCTTAAAAAATTTCATGCACTATAACTTTATACTATAAGATGCACACTGCTCCGATATTTTAGTTTATTATTTTATAAATCAATCTTCGTAATTGAAGAAAAGAAAGTTAATCTTACCTCAAAATTTGAGATTTTACGTTTTAAGGTAGGCAGAATCCGAAAATCGGATTAAAAAACATCAGTCCGTCTGAGCCTTTTCTCGGAGACTACTAGACTGATTGTTTTGTGATTTGGTATCAATAACAAAGGAACCCAAGGTTGATCTTCGGAACGCGGTATTAACTTTTCTTTCCAGATGGCGGCCGAAAAACCTGTATCGCTTTAAACTGTAATGGATGTACCGATCCAAATAAAAGCGCCTAAATTAAGGTGACCAGAAGTCCCTCTTTGGAGGGACAATTCTGATTTTTACCAATTTGTACCTTGTCCCGCGGCGTTTTAATAAAGTCACGAAATTTGGCATTAATGCACGACCGGCCCAGAAACGAGAAGAAAATAAACGGTTTTCGGCGGCCGTGTAGCTATTTCATCAAGACATTAATTTTATATTATTTTTGTTTATTTTATAATTCTAAACTTTAGTAGTACCGAACAATTATTGAAAACTGGTTATGGAGAACTGCTTAGCTAAGTTCCCATTGTTGATCAGTTTTTATAAATCAACCACCATTGTTGGGACTTGCGAGACGCCGTCAGGCGTTTTCGGGAAACTGGTTCTTACAATAGACTAGAATAGATGGTTCTGGACGGCCTAGGGTAACAGTACCACGGGATGACCGATTTTTGACTTTGAGAATTTTACGAAACCGGCACCTTACCGTTGTTCAAGCGATTCATCAGCTCGAAGAAGTTGGAGGTGTGCAAATTTCTGAACGTACCGCTCGGAGAAGATTAAATGAGTATGGATTAATGGCTTTTCGTCCAGTAAAAGCCATCAAAGTCCCATAAAAGTAAAAGCCAACCAGAGTTGACCAGAACTCACAGAGTAACACGGCTGGCTTTTGCTCGAGAACACAGCCATTGGACTATGGACAAATGGAGTGCTGTACTTTTTACAGATGAGTCAAGATTCGCTCTTCGATCTCCAGACGGGCGTGAAAGGGTGTGGAGAAGAAGAAACGAAAGATATGCAGCCTGTAATTTTTACCAGAGCCAACCTTTCCAACGTGGCACCTTAATGGTGTGGGCTGGGATTTCAATGGAGCGCCGCACAGAATTGGTTGTTGTTCGTGGAGGGTCTTTGACGGCCATTTGCTATGTAGATGAGATTTTGGAACCTATCCTCAACGAAATCGGGGATCGTTCTATTGTAATGCACGATGATGCACGCCCACATGTCGCCCGCATATTACAGACGTTCCTTCAACAGAACAATATTGAGGTTTTAGCCTGGCCAGCACGTTCTCCAGATTTGAACCCCATTGAGCATTTATGGAATAACCTCGGAAGACGAATAAGACCGCGTGCAACATTTCCTGACACACTGCAGGACCTTGAAAGGGCTCTTCGGGAGGAATGGGCTATCCTCCATCAAAGATACACTAAGAGGCATTTTTAAACTTAATATTGAAAAAATTAAAAGCCGGAGACTAAGAAATGTGCTGCAAGAAATGGCACTAAACTAATGATACTGAATAAACATTTTGATTCCATAGAAAGTAAACATTGGAATCTTAAATCATTTCATTGAATTAAGGATTCAGGGTTATTGTCCTCTATATTAACATTCTTAATTGAAAACAAACAAAAAGATTACCTATTTATTCATTAAAAACAATAGACCAATCCAAAGCAGTAATAGTTTTAGATAAAAACATGAAAAAATCAAGTGGGTGGAATTTTTTGCCTGTCAGTGTATATATATATATATAACACTAATATATATATATATATATATATATATATATTATATATATTATATATATATATTTCACGAGCCCATGGTGGAGCATTGGTAAAAGTTTTCATCCAGCAAAAACTCCCCAGTTACAGATGGGCAAATGCTACTCTGGGTACCGAATACGAATAATTTTAATCAAATTTTATCACTATTAAGAATTCAATCACTACTTCAGTTAATCGTTTGACATCAACTGAAGTAGTAATTGAATTCTTTGGTACTCAAAAAAGGGCACTATTTGAGTAAAACCTGTAAGTACTCCGTACTCAGACTAACATTTGCCCATCTCTGACCTCAGTAGACCTTCATTGGTTACGAAATTTTCTCTGCGCAAAGTTCGACTTAATAAACGACCCGAAAATGATATTTTTAGTGAGTTATCGTTATTACAAAAATATATTGATAAGGACAACATTTAATCTTGGGCATCAGAAAATTAAAACTTCATTTACTACCTCGATTACCGTAATTTTTTCGCCTTCAGTAAGTTTGACAGAAGAATGCTGCTTGATTGTGTACAAATTGCTGGCACAAAATATATAAATCTTAAAAACTGTGTTATTATTGAAGTCATAAATTATACGTCAGATACATCACCAAATTATTCGCTCTCAAAAATTCGCCTTTAGTATTAAATTCTCACCAGATTGTCATAATGTAAAATTAATTATTGTAACAACTAATATTGTTTCTCTTTTCCAAACATACTTCTCCGAAAGGAAGTTATATACTTATTTCTTTAATAGGTCTATAACATACTTTCCGAAAGGAAGTCAAACTGGAAAAAATGTTACTCAATAATCTAAAATATTATTCAAAAATCAAAAAACAAAACAAAGGACTTTTAACTAGAACGCGTGGAAAATATTTATATATTAAATTAAATATTTGCAGAGATTCGACCATTTTTCTTTTGTTTTTAAGGTATTTTGTAAAATTTTAAATGGCCATAACAATATTTCTAAAAGATGATATTGTGAAAGAGACTATAATACGTATTAGTAGGAAAAGACCTTTTCAATGTGCATATGGGTGCACTGCTAAAAAGAAGCTGAAAATTTTGAATTACATCTAAAATCAGATTATCAATGAAGATGCCTGAACAGGCGAAAATTTGAAATAAATTTATTATTTATCGAGACTGAAAAGGCCTTTTTCTAATAATACCTATTATAGTCTCTTTCCTAGGATCATTTTTTAGAAATATTGTTATGGCCATTTGAAATTTTACAAAATTCCTCAAAAAAATCGTCGAAATAGGGCATATGTATAAATATTTGTAAGAAATATTGTAAGAAAAATATATAAATATTTTCCACGCGTTCTACTCCAAAGTTGATATCCTTTGTTTTGGTTTTTGATTTTTGAATAATTGAAACACTGAAAAAAGGATTTTTTTGGGGGGACTCAGGAGGTTCTGAAACGTAAACATCAGTTGAAAACTACATATCGAAAATTTGAGCTGATCGCAACACTTTCCATACCTAGTAGCGGTAGGAAAGTAAAAAATTATAATATATTCTTATATTATTGTAAATATATTCTTATATTATAGTAAAAAATTATAATATAATATATTATAATATATAATTATATATAATATAAAGTTCTTTTGTAATAATCGGATTTTCTTTTTCTTTATTCGAAGTTTTTAACTCTTGGAATAGTCATAACATAAATTTTTAAAGTGATACTTACTTTGATTTTTGATTTTATGAAATCCATATCTTGTGTCGCTGCAAGGTACGAATCCAACATGGCAGCAAGTAATGGTGGACTACTCCGACCTCGGAAATAGTATCTTCCAGCTTTCGGAACATACCCAAACTTTTCAATCAGATGGCACAAATTTTCGATGATACCTAAAGTTTTTATTTTTAATTTTTTGTCAGTAAATTAATTAATAATATTTATATTAGTAAAAGGAATACTCCTCTTTAATTTAATTTAATGGAGGGCCTTGGTGTCGACATAAAGGACGTGGCAAGGTTGGCAGAGAATATAATCCTTGACTCCCTGGGAATTATCCATCACCATGTGTATGGATAGAGAGTTTGTTCATGGGGGGAGGCATGCGTGTTTTCCAGCATTTTTACATTATTTATTGACCACGTCCACTGCACTTTATGTATTTGTATGCATGTTATGAATTAGTTTAGGGAAAGATAGGAGAAAATCTAGTGAACGAGAAAAATGTATAGAGTGAGAGAAGGAACAGAAAGGGATGTATAATGCTAATAAATGAATGAAAGAAATAGTAAAAATAAAATAAATAAAAAAAAAATATAGGAAAAAAAATATGATAAAAAAAATATATATAGATAAAAAAAAAAAATTGTATATTATGCTCATACATGTTGTTAATTCTATATAATTGTATATTAGTTTTGGAAAATTGTCTGTAGCGATTAATAAGTATGCTGTGTTTAAAGCAACCCAATGTAATTGGGCAGCACCCTTTTATGATAATAAAGTGATTCTCTCTCTTGTAATGTTTGATGAAAAGTATGTTTTTCAATAATTTCGGAATATTTAAATTGGTGGTTTCATGTTAAATTAACTTTTATTTATCTAATGTGAAATCTTATCCTATAGATGAATAGCGAGGTGAAGAAATAATTAAAGACTGAGCAAACCCGAAGTGTTGATGCCCAAATCACACACAATTGCTGCCTACTTACTTTATTCCAAGAATTCCGTACTCAACAACAAAGACCTCGGTCCCATTTCAAACGTAATATTTAAAAAAAAAACATACAAATTAGTACTTTTTATTTTTAGAAACAAATCATAAAATACATGGTGTGTAATTTTCTTTCATTTTTAAACTATAAAAAGTATATTAGTTTTTTCTTTCCATGATACTAAAATATAAAAAATGTATTTTATTGTGTATTTTAAATATAGAAAATAATAGATTAACGAATTAAGTTTTGTTCCATTAATATTTGTTATGTTCTATTAAATACTATAACAAGGCTGATCGTTTGCCGGATAATTCTCTCAGTAAAAATCCATCCTAGAATTTTTTTTAAGGTTGAATTGTGTCAATTTTTTTATACAATTATCTATGGCCATACAATCGATTTGTTTAAAAAACATTATAGGAATCGAAGATTAAAATTATAGGAAAGGGTTGAAGAGAATATATTTTTTAAAAAAACATGCATTTTGTTTTCATTAATAATATCTGACTTGTATATTACTTTATCTTTATATATATATATATATATATAATATATATATATATATATATATATATACACTTTTTTTCCCCCTTTATTATATACATATTGTGTGAATGAATACTATAGCACTAGTACCAATGCCCTTCAGTGTGGCAGACTGTATTAATACTCAATAAAAGTTTAAAAAATAAAAATAAACAATAATATCTGTAAGTACTTTTAAGCAAAGAATAAGGTGTGCAATTTATGTTGTGCCTTAGGCAACAATATTTAAAATGAAATAATTTAACAAAGTTTCACTTTCATCATAAATTGTCCAGAATATTGTATATAGGTATGTATGTGTTCTTTTTATTCATTTATTTTTAGGTTATTTTATTCTTATTTATTGTATATATGTTATTTTTCTGTATAATTTATTTTATTTACTGTGCATTGAGTGTGAATGTGATCTGTGAACACTATTATAAATGTCCTTGAGACAGATTGTAATATTTTTCAATAAAAAAAAAATAATAATAAAAAATATTGTCCAAAAATAGTATTAACGTATATTATAAAGTAATCTAAATATTACAGCCAATTTTAATCTCCTTTCCTTGAAAAAATGTAGATGTGAAAACATTGTGTATAATAGGTAGACTGTAATTCTTGAAATATAGAAAAATTCTCTTTGATTCAGTCTCAATTTTATTTTATCGTTGCAAGGAGCTTTCTTGTTAATCTTTCTTTTGGTAGCCATCGTTCTTTAAACTTTTCTTTTTAATCATTTATTAATTATCGTACTGTTCATTAAAAATATATCTGTAAGTTAAAATGTAAAACAAATAATAGAGTGATAGTAGACTTTTTTTAGTGATATTCAGCTCTGCAAGCGAAGTATCTCAATGAGTGAGGTTGCTAAACTCAAGATCCCGAGTTTCAATCTGGTGCAATGATATCAAGTAATTTTTCATCAGCCGTGGATCGACCCTGGTCGGAAGACCTGTGTGCCCTCAGCCTCTTTATAATGGGCATTCTTAAAAAAATAATTAATAAAGGGAAAAAACCTTGAGGTTGGGCGTGAACCTGGCCCAATCACCCTCCTGCACAGCCGTTGGCCTTGAAACAGTAATGTCTAACGAAGTATTGGGCCCAAAAGTAGTGAAACAGTATATTAGGCTCTGTTATTAACCAATTGGAAATGATAATTATTTGTAGTACAATTTATTCTTGGAGTAGAGAGGACCTTTTCCATTCTTATAGGGTCATACACTGGACATTGGAAGTGTATTATTATCCAATTTCCATCCCAACCGTTATCGTCCTTCCCATCTAAGAGATGAAAAATAATTTTAAAAAAAGAACAAAGAGGTAGGAAGCTTTTTGTAATTATAAAATAAATAAATAAATTAAGACTGAATTAAAGTTTTTTTTTTTTCAATATTTCAAGATTACACCTATTTTTTTAAAGGGATAAGTTGTGCAGCACCGATTCGTGAGACATAAGTATTATGTACTTGTATTGTTTTCTTGCAATTAAAATACGAAATACTTGGTGTTGATAAACCGAGTGTCTTACGTCAAAACAAATAAACAAAATTTCTGTACTCTGTATTTGAAATACTTTTTCTGAAAACAATTTTGTAATTAAAATGTACTGTATTTTAAAAATACAAAACAATCTTGGTATTTTAAATAATGTATTTTAAAATAACAATTAAAATACTTTTTTCCTAGGTATGGTGCAAACTTAATTTTCTCTGTTGAAAATATTAACAATACAATTTTCAAACTCTAAATACATTTCCTCTCGAGAAAGCAAATATCTCAGAGTCTATAATAACCATCATAAGAGAAATTTACCACAACAGTGCCTGCTATGTTAAACTAGGGTTAAGTCTCTCTGAAAAATTCGAGACCTCAAAAGGACTTTTGCACGGGTGCTGCCTTTCGACTATCTTTTTTAAAATTTATTTTAATCTTAAAATTACTTTATGTTAACATTAAAATAAAATATTTATGTTACTCTCAGAGAGTTGAAACGAAAATGTGGATAAAGATTGGGGTTTATGCACCATGGAATTAATGTTTGCCGATGACAAAGTAATTAAAGCCCAGGATAGAGAGGACATCAATTATATGTTCAGAAAGGTTGCCGAGACTTATGAAAAGTTTGGGTTGAATATTACCGAAAAAGACTATTAGCAGTAGAGATGGACTTTTGGAGAAATGTAGCAAGAAAATCCAGAAGGTAAAAAATCAAAAATGAAAGAGTTCTAGAAATAACGGAGATGGAAACAAACATTATAGCAAATATTGAAAAGAAAAGGTTATGCTGGTTTGAGCATGTGAAAAGAATGACACCTGAAACATCGCAAAAGATATGTATGGAGCTGAAAGTAGAAGGGAGAAGGAAAGAGGGACGAACAAGGGTAAGATGGAAAGACACGGTGAAAGAAAGCATGGCGTGTCATGGTATAAGAGAAGAACAAGCCTTAAATAGAGAAGGATGGAAAAATATCTTAACGGATATTTTTTTTTTACTTATTTATTGAAAAATATTACAATCTGTCTCTAGGACGAACCGATATTAAGGTCAAGAATAACCACAGTAGTGGAAAATTATTTAATAAAAAAAAATGTTTAATTAAAAATATATTCTGATATGAGAAGGAGTTAATCGGGGAGTGCGGTCAAATAAATACTAAATTAAAATATAGTAATTATTTTAATTTGTGCCGACGTTTCGACCCACTTTGCACGTCTTCAGGGCTACAAAAGAAACAACACATGTTGAAAATAAAAAATAAATATAAGCAGCTATAAATCTCCTTTATTTTTATTTTTATTCATACTTATTTTCCATTTGTTTGTATCTTCTACAAATATAATACTTAATATTTAACTACATTGTCACTCACTGTATCTCTGATATCATCTTTTATTTCTGTATCTGACAACTTCTTCTTATTTTATATCTACTTATATTTATTTTTTATATTCAACATGTTTTGTATATTTTGTAGCCCTGAAGGCGACCTGCAAAGTGGGTCGAAACGTCGGCAAAAATTAAAATAATTACCATATTTTAATTTAGTATTTATTTGACCGCACCCCCCGATTAACTCCTTCTCATATTATATCAACGGTCAACCATCTCTACATCATTCAAAATATATTCGGTAAGTAATTTGGTATTTCGGAGGATAGTTTTACAATTCATCCTAGTGAATCGATCCTCCGGACGAAACAAGTATTACCAAATTTAAATTACCGAAATTAAAATTATTTATAATAGCTATACATGTTTAAAAGTACTAACATTTAAATTAAGAAATTTATAAAAATAGCTTTAAATCCATTTTACTCAAATAATCTAGTATTCACAAATATTGTATTCTATTTTCCATATCCCCTCGCGCGGGCTCATTACCGCGTATGGGGAGCGTCTCACGGGTGGCGGATGTGGGGATGGTCGGTGGAAATTCCTTGGAAGTTCCTCCCGGCTAAGTCCAATGGACTCGCTGACCAACAATGAGAGGGGCCCTCCAGACTCGCTGGAGGGAGGAGACTTCCAGACTTGCTGGAGGTAGGGGCCCACCAGACTTGCTGGTGTGACGTAGGATTGAACGCCCTACTCACATATCTTTAGTTCACCAAACACCACAAATAGTCATGAATCTCCCTAAGGTAAAACGCTCATTATCCGGAGGTAAACTAGTCCCCCGTTCGGGTCTCCGGGTGGGGACTGCTTTAGGGGATTCATGGAGCAAGTTGAAATATAGGGATTTAAATATTGGTACGTGGAACGTAAGGAGTTTAAACACAGCAGGGGGGCTAAAATCGGTCGCGAATGAGGTAAATGGGTACAATTTAGATGTCATGGCTCTGCAAGAGGTTCGCTGGCCAGGGGAGGGAAGGAAAGTACACTATTTGGTACGGAGGAAGCGAGAATCATTGTTTAGGTACCGGGTTTCTAATTAGGAGTAGATTACTATCAGCTTTGAGGGACGTACAATTCTTTAGTGATAGAATTTCGGTAGCTATATTTCAGCGACGTTGGTTTAAAATCGCATTAATAGTAACGATGAAGTCAAAAGTGAATTTACGATAATCGATTTATCGTTATTATTACTCGAATGGATTTATGATGAACTACCGCGAAACTACATGAATTGTAGGTGACGCGAACGCAAAGGTAGGAAGGGAAGAAGTTTATATTCCGACGATTGGTAAAGAAAGTTTGCACGAATATAGTAATGATAATGGGATCCGTCTGATAAACTTTGCCCTCTCGAAAAACCTGATAATTAAAAGTACGACGTTTAAACATAAGGATATTCATAAATATACTTGGACATCACTGGATTCGAAAACAAGGGGGAAGCTGGAGTTTCTAAAATACATCGGTTAGTTAAAAAGATCTGGGTGAACGAGAAATTATCTGAAGAATGGAAAGAATCTATTCTTATTCCGATTCACAAAAAGGATCCGAGGACAGATTGTAATAACTATCGAGGAATTTCACTCCTTCCGGCATGTTATAAAATATTTACTTTAATCTTAACCAGTTGAATCACGGACTACGCCGAGGAAATTATCGAAGACTACCAATGCGGATTTAGACGGAATCGTTCGACTATTGATCAAATATTTTTCTTTACGGCAAATATTAGAGAAAAAATTGGAGTATAACGCTATTGTTCACCAGCTGTATATAGATTTTAAAAAGCCTTACGATTCTATTGACCGCCAGAAACTGTATAATATTCTAATCGAGCAGGGGAATCCAAAAAAACTAGTAAATCTAGTCAGGATGTGCTTGACGGAGACACTCAATAAAGTTAGAATCGGTAAAAATTTGTCCGAAAAATTTGTGGTTCGTTCGGGCTTAAAACAGGGGGATTCTCTTTCGCCTGTCCTGTTCATTTTGGCATTAGAACATGCCATTAGGGAGGTAATGCGTACCGAGAAAGAGTTGGATCTGGGCGGGACAACATCCGTGCTGGGCTATGCTGATGATCTGGTACTGTTAAGCGAAGACGTGGAAACTATAAAACTAAATACGACAAGCCGGTAAAGAACTAGGACTCGAAATAAACGTGGATAAAACAAAATATATGTTTAGCTGCAAAAATGGCGATACTACTGGTGTTATCCATATAGATGGTAATATGTCTGAACAGGTAGAGAAATTTAGGTATCTAGGTTCTACGATAACTAGAAAAAACGAAATTGAAGAAGAGATTAAGGTTAGACTGAAGGCGGGAAATGCTTGTTATTTTTCTGTGACAAAACTACTCAGTTCGCGCCTCTTGTCCCAGAACTTAAAAATTGGAATCTATAAAACAATTATCTTGCCTACAGTTCCTTATGGATGCGAAACTTAGCCGCTTACATTAAGGGATGAGCAGCGTCTTAAGGTTTTTGAAAATAAATTATTGCGTGGAATATTCGGACCGAAGAAGGATGAGTTAACCGGAGAGTTCAGACGGTTACACAACGCCGAATTGCGTGAGCTGTATCCGGGTAATATAATTGAGGTAATTTCATCGCGGCGAATCAAATGGGCTTGTAAAGTTGTTGGGCTTAGTAACGAGAGAATACCTAAAAGGTTAATATGTGCGGTGCCGAATGGTAAGCGTCCGAGGGGTAGACCGAAGCGAAGGTGGAAGATTGCATTAAAGCCGATCTGAAGGGACTGGGTTTGGACGGCGAACGGTGGAGGAGTGTGTAATAAGCGATTGGTGGTGTCGGCATCGAACCTTCGGGTTCGCTAAGCCTTTTATTATTATTATTATTATTATTTTCCATATCCGGAATAAAACTGAAACTAGTACTGATTATCTTCAATAAAGCATTTTTCGTAATAAAAATATCAATTAGCTATGTTTATTCCTGATTGCTTTATCTCTTACCTGCCGCTGTTTGATGCATTTCACTTGCCAAAAGGCCTTTGACAATCCAGTATGAATCCCAATAATTTATTTCGTGATGATTTGGGGAGGACACAATGAACCTTAACAATTTCAACAGTAAAAATCAGAAATTATTCAACTGGTAATTAACACGTTATTAAACTGATTTTTATCCGAGGCACATACAAATTATTTTATCCACATTAAAATACTTTTATTTAATTATCTCAACATATATTTTTGTGATGTTTTGGCTACTTGGCTATTTTCAAACATTTCTTTACACACATATTTACCACCTGTCTAAAATCTTTTGTGAAGTAATTTGTTAATATCATCTAGAAGAAATTGTTTATTTTTACCAGTCAGCATTTTTTTAATGATTATTTTCTTTCTTATTTTATATATTTCGGTGTATAAATAACACATTTCCCATACATGTCTTATCGCCAACTGCTTAGCTAATTATCATATCACCAATTATATTTCTGACATATTTTATAACAAATATGATTCTAATGTGTTGATGATATAATATAATGTAAAGATTTTACTTTCTAGACTAACGAAGAACGGTTACTATTAAAGATCTCCCTTATAAACATTCTCCTAATTCGGACATCTCTAAATTTACCCTTTTTAGGATCTCCTAAATACAATTAAAAGATTTGTTAAATATTTCGTCATGTCATCTGTAGGCGCTGAAATTCTTTTTGGGAGTGATCAACTCCCCCCTCCTTCTCCTCAAAAAAGTTTATATTAATTAAAATAATTATGATTATTAATTAATATAATCAACATAATTATGGTAAAACCAACAATGTAATACTATATCCAAAAATAAACATAGATTTAAACTAGACGAAATTTATTTCATAGTTTGTCATTGTAGTATAGTTTTAAAAACAGATAATTTATCCGCTGTTGTTATCAATGAGATTTCAATATCAATATATAATCTTAATTATTCAGTGTTTTCCAAAGCAGGATATATCATTGAAGTGATCAGATTCCTTCTTAAATTCTCAAGAAAACGGAAAATTTGGATGCTATCTTATCTAAGATGACAACTTAGAATAAAATCAATGTGCCAACAAAAGATATAAGATAAAACAATTATTTTTCAACTATCTGACCTGGAGCTGTGAACGAGATCAGAAAATATGACTTGAATAATCATCCTTAACGGAAATTTTAATAAAAGAACAGTTAGGGATTGTAAAGAATAATAGGCAACTATGGATGATGAATGACGACAACAATACTCAAAGATTAATATATTACTAGCTTTTATAGAATCTTTTATTTTCCAGTTACTCAAATAGTACATAATAATGCTTCCAGTACTTGAAAAACCAAATTATTTATTATTTCGTATATGATCAAGGTATTATTAGAAGCTACTAATTCCAAAGGAAACTAATGTAAAGTTCCAATAATGGCGGGTCTATTTTCATTTTATTATGGGAGTTTTTCATTGCTCGTCCCACAGTGCGCCGCTACACTTTGTATATAACAATATTCAATATTTATAAAAATCCAGATTTTATATCATAAATTGATCGATTTTATAAAAATGATTATTGGTAATATATGTACGACTGTGGTTATAGGGACTCAGCAATGGGGCTGAGCGAGAGGCACCGGGATCTCCCAGAGTCCTACCTTTCCTTCCACGATTGGGGAACTCGGTCACTCAAACTCGGAGATCTCCTGAGTGAATGAATTTTGTAAATATTCTATAAAATTGTGGCTTTATTTACGTTGTTATTTTGATCTATTTCTTTTTGTTTAGATACATTTATTTTTATTTATTGTATATGGAGTGTGAATTTGCGCTCTGAACACCATTATGAATGTCCTTAATTGCAGTTGATTGTAGTATTTCTTAATGAATAAGTTGATTTAATATCGGGAAAAAAATCAAGGTAATAAATGTTAAAAGAACATATCAGTAGAGGTAGAATGTTGTATGACTTGTAGAAAATTATGTTTAAATGTTTGGATAAAAACCTTGAACCTCAACAGTTCGAATGGGACTTTTGCAGTAATAGCCCTCATTGCAGTCAATTCCTCAATTATTTTTTCCTTTTGGCGTATCATGACAACTATGTCCTACAGTCCCTTATAAATTGCTTTAAATATACAGAATAGCTACTTGCCCTCTAGGGAGGGGGATGATGGAGTGGTCTAGGGCGATGTCTTCTGCGGTCTCCCTCCCCAGCAGCAGCCACAGCGAGTGCATGTGTGTCGCCCAGGCCTGTAGTTCTGGCTCCAGAGGTTTCCTCACCACCTCAGGCTCCGGCTTCCAGTCCGTTGGGATCCATCCCTGCGCTAACAAAAATTATAACTATTGAGATTAGCCCAGGACCAGAAACATCTAGAAAAAAAACAATAGTTTTATTTACAATTTTGGAAATCATAAATATGTGTGGGATAAGCAGATTAACATTTTTTTTCATTAATGATTTTAATGCAACCCAGATTTCCTTCAAATATCCATAAAAGTTTGATAAAGAATATTTATTAGTTTAAGAGACTGAATTATCCCGAGAAATAGCAAATGAAGACACATTAAACAATACGAAAAATAATTTCTCTTAAATCATTTTCTGGACTCAGAGGATTTTAAAGAGGTCTGCACAATTTCTCTTTGGTTAACCTTCTTGGACTTTCTTGAAAATAATGTACGTAAATACGATAGTAATTAATAGATTCGAAGAATGAATATAATTCTTTGATAGAAGATACCAGTGGCAAAAATTTGATTGCCTCAGTATGATCGTTCATCTGGTAATAAATGATTATTGTAAACTTCTCAAACTATCTGACGTTTGCTCTGATCCCCGTATTTTCCAGCAATAATTAAGTCGTCTAAGAAGCAATAAATCCTTACAGTTCTGTTATTATTTGTTCTGTAATGTATTTTTTTTTTTTTTTGGTGCAAAAATTACCTAAAGATGGTAGCTTTTCATTTATAAATTAACCCAATTGTGATGAAATTGTGAAATATGCCTGTGAATTTTCATCTATCGAATCCTGTTTGATGACGACGGCACCAACCTAATAGGTTACAGATTAGTATCAATGGATTCAATAAAACCATAGTCTACCGATCGGTGAATGTTCTATTAAATACTTGAACGATGACCACAAAACAAATGTTGTCTTAGTTTTTAAAACTTTCAGTTTAGCAATATACTTCGAGTAGCAACCACTTCATTATTTTTATTATGCCTGACCATGAATCATCTCTCTAAATTTAGACTATAAAGTGTCTACAGCAATTTTTTGTTTCTGCCATTACTATTAATTTTATACTTCAAATGGTCTTAAATTGTAAAAGAAGATATCACAAAACATGAGTATTCCAGACAACTAGATTCGGAATAAAAAAGAATTGAAAACAACAAAGGTTTTCGATTTGTGCCATTGACCATGGGAGAGATGGGCACCTTTACTAATGTTCGTAGTGATATATGATTATATGATGTGCAACAAAGTTACCTATGTCTCGAAGATCCTGTATCCACGTTCGCTTATTAATGACAGACAATTTCCTAAGTTCTATTAAATCTCATTTCTTTTACTGGTTACTTTAAATTTTGAGGCCAAGCATCGCCCTTCTTCCGGTTAAAATATTTCGTATTTTACACTGATACAATATTGGATCCGATTCATTAAAAAAGCTACCGGCGTTATTTTGCAACGCTTTAGTCTTGATGAAAAATCTAGTTCTGTGTCTGTCTGAAGCCAAATACATATATGGGGCTTATCACTTTCTCTCATTAATACGATTTTCATTGAATTTTCAAATATTGTGCTGGTGGATACCTAGACAGGCCCATACCGATTTCCATTTACTACTTTCACTTAAATGTATTTTCTTAGACAAGCCTTAATTTAAAAAACGGCTCATTCTATTTCGCTCTAAATTGGAGCCTATCTATATTGGAGCCTGGCTATACATGGTTTTCCCAGTCTGCAGGAGAGGGTTGGAAATTAATAAAGTATTAAAAGTTCCTCAGTGCCGAATTCGTCTCGTGGTTCGGTATATCATATCGAATTAACAATAAACTTCAATTTATTGAGTTGTCTGGCAAAGCGCGCTTTGTATACACTGGTTAGCCTCTTCGACACGTTTGGCCACCTAGTTTCCTCTTTATCTTATATAAAAATATATATATATATTCATATTTATGTATATTAGAATGAGATGCATTATTTTTTTTTTTTTTTCAATTTTCGGCTTTATGCCGGATAAATTCATTGACCCGGACCGAGGTCAAGGGTACAATTTATTGAATATTTAATTAGAAATATTAACATTTTCGAAAAATGCTGGCGGTTCCCAGCATTACCGCTTTCTGGATTTTCTGAAGTTCCCAGCTTAATCCAAGTACCTTCAAGATTTTAGATTCTCTTCAGGAATCAGGCCGTTGCTGGATACAATAATGGGTAGTACTTTTACTTCCACCAGCTGGTATAACTGCCTTAATTCCTCACATAGCTCTTGATATTTTAGAATATTTTCACTTAATGTTTTAGCTACATTATTCAAGGTATCCAAGCCAAGATATTCAACGCTTTTACTAAATTTCCTGCCGGTGAATTAGTTCCTAGGAGTATCCAGATCCATTTGTTAAATTCTTCTTCAAAGGTTTCTTTGACCTCTTTTTTGAATGTAAGCAATTGTGAGATACAGAGATACTTGTAAGAGTCAGTTAACTGAAGTTGCTTGATGACATCACTATTATTAAGTTCAATATTAGCTGAATCCATTAATCTTCCTCTGTGGACATTACGGGTTGCATTTTTGTATGTTCCTAAATTTATCCCAATATCTGCAGTGAATGACCTTACCAACTCAACAAGAGTTCTCATGTTTCTCCCGTGTGAGAAATTATTGTTTCCTGATTCAGAGAGTAATTTTTTCCAGATTGATTTAAAATAGAGCTTAGAGGATTAATTGCGAGGCAGAACCATAAAGGGCTTAACAAATCTCCCTGAAATATTCCTCTTTTTATGAGAATGTTCTGTGAGACGACGAGATTCTTTATACTTGGATGTACCAATGATACTTCCCATAGCTTCTTAAGTCGTTCAAATAGTTCTATTACTTTTTTATTGACCTTTTAAATGTTGAGAACTTTAATCAACCACTCATGAGGGACTGAGTTGAATGCTCTCTGATAGTCAATCCACGAAAGAGATGTATTGCACGACTTTTTTGATACTTGATAAGCTATGAATGAACCAACAACAAGAAGCTCTTTACATCCCTTAGAGTTCGCTTACATCTATGGTTGTTCTTTTATACATGCCTCATTAGTTTACTACTGATTATGGATGACAAAAGCTTGTAAACCCCATTAAGACATGTTATTGGTCGATAGGCTTTTGTTTCTGGGGACTCTTTTCTTTGTTTCGGAATCAAGTGTGTTTTCCCTAAGCAAAAGTCCTTTGGAGGTGTGACTAAATTGCACATCAGTTTCTGATAGTAAGCGGCTAATGGTCTATGGGCACTTTTAAAGTGTTCGAGCCAGTAATTTTGAATTCTATCTGATCCTGGTGCTTTCCAGTTATGTGCGTACTTATCATCGGCATTAATTTGCATTATATCCATGCATCCATAGAATCCAAGGAAGATTCTGTATTTTATCTTGCAAATTCATAAGGCAGAAATAATTCTAATTGTAATTCCTTGGATTGCCCAAGTGTTTTTCCAATAACTAGAAAAGTCAGAATCATCGGGATGTGACAAAGAAAAAGAATCTTCCTTTGTTTTCGGTTTCAGGCTATTATAAATGTTTTTCTCTGCTGTTTGAAACCAGTAGTTTTGCTTTCTTCGGCATTCTGCTTTTATATATTTTCTTACCCTGTTAGCATAAACTGCAAGTTTTGACCCTATGTGATTCACAATGAGCCCATCAATAACAGTCTTCAACTTCACCGATGCTCTGTCAGGATTATTAAGATAGTTGGTAAGAACTCCAATTTTTTCTGCACAATTCATCAATTTTATTCTTCAGCCTTCTCCTCCAATATGGATCAAGATTCTTAACATCAGAAATATCCTTTCCTTTTGGCGGATCTACTTCTCTCATTATTCCAAATTGTTTCACCACCGTCCTTGCTGCTATATATATATCCAGTGTCGGATTCCATCGATGTCGCTGTACGTTGTTATATATTCTTGCAACAGATTATCTACTGCTAAAATAATTTGAAGCGCTGGATTAGAATATAGTATTTTAGGGATGACAGGATAACTTTCGAGAGGAATTCCCTGGAATTTTAAATGTTCCGTAATAAAACTGGTACGGATGCTTGCTTGTTCCATATCATTTGTGTTCAATGGTTCCTCCGTTGGGATCTGTTCTTCCTAATTCACGTGAGTGAAAGCCTCAATGATTTGTGGTTGTAATGGCCGTAAATCCTGAGCATGGGTCAGGTTTAGCCTACGTGCTACATCTTCTTTTATATCGTGTATTTCAGCCATTGAAGAAACTTCCTGCTGAATATCTGTTTCACTTGATCGGCGATACGTTGAGAAGATACTTGAATATGTGGGATTTCTTCATTCCGGTAGTTAGTGATTAGAGATCTGTATCCAGTTTTATCATTTCCTAAATGTGTTGCCAAGAAATAAGCTCGGTTTGCTGACGCGTTCAACTTGCGAGTCCATTTCATCCGGTTTGTTCATTTCTTCGGCGTTGTGGCACTCTTCCTTACGGGAGAGGCTCATCAGCGTCCGAGCGGAAATCATAGATAGATACAGTTCCTTGGGTAGCTGGTCATACGGTTCCATATGGCATCGGAGCACCGGTCACACAGCGTACCGAGGTCGAGGGCTGGTGGTCCGATCCTTCCAGAGCAGCCCTTACTGTGGATTCGTCCGAGGCGGTTCTTCTTTTTTGTAACTCCATGTTGATGGATGAGGTGCATGTTATACCTTCCTGCCAGGTGATTTAAGCAGCCGCCCCTGACATGGGGAACAGAGGCTGACCAGGTAGCCGCCCAATTTGGGAACCGTCGTACCTGCATTTAACTAGTTTTGGTAAACCCTGGGTATTTATTTCTCCGGTACCCACTATATCTGGTGAGTATTCCCCTGTCCGCCACCTGGGGAGGCGCCCGTTGGGAGACTAGCAACTCCTCACGAATATTATTTTTATTATTGTTATAATATATATATTAAGTATATATATATATATATATATATATATATATATATATATAATACTTAATTGTAATGTATTGTAATAATCTTGTAGGTATATATATATTATATATATATAATATATATATATATATATATATATATATATATATATCCTACAAGATTATTACAATACATATCCACTTATACAATACAATACAAATTTATGAATTGACGAAACATATAAACATAACTCTACCCTCCTTCCCCATAGTTCTACTAGGCTTAATTATTATTGATAGTTTAGAATGACTTTCATTTCCTGATTTAAAAGAAAATCTTACTTTAACGGCTAAACTAATATCATTATAACTAAAAAATGGGCAATGAAACAATAAATGAAACTCTTATTCAAAACATTACAACGCCGCTTTTCTCATAGAAAATATCATTACTTACCGTGATTCCCTTTTTATAAATCTTCTCGTATGTTTTCCCTTTATTTTTTATGTATGCATATTTCACGCCTTCACCAAAACGGACTGTAACCTCCTCTAGTTTTCTGTAGACCTGAAGATGGTTACTGCATTGTTATAAAGTTATACCTATGTAATAAATAAAAAACTCCCTAAACCAAAAATAACTTATTAAATATTTCAACTCACTCTTTTCAGTTTTAAAAGTGATTCTTCAAAATTCGAAAGACTTGAAGCCATTTCTCTATAAAATATTCGGTTAGATTGTGAGAAACGATATGACAAAAACAAATAACAGTTATAAATTTGTTACTCTTATACACTTTACTAAATTTACATGTGTCGCTTACCTTTTAAAAATGACTTTTCTATCAACATTGTATCTCCTAACAAAGGAGAGAGGTAAGGATATGTCAATCAGAACTATCTTTAATTTAGACGAAACCTGCATCATAATTTTAACCGGATGCGATATTCTGAACTGTATATCTGAAATAAAATTTATTTTTTGTAAAAATATTTACTATTCTAAGATTCAGATGTTTTGAATGGTATCTGAAGTACACTTTAAGTTTAATACTGGCTCTATATAACAAGATTATCTGTTAATGTTATGGAAGGCATAATAATCAAGGACATCACTGATATTAGTTTACCGATATCAAATAAAGGCTAAATACTACGTGTTCTCATAATTTGGAAGAAGTTCGTACAGTAGTAAGGATTATAGTACGTATGATTGAACAAGGATTAGATGAGAGTTAACCGTTAGGAAAAAACGTTCCGTCAGTACAGCAACCTCAAGCATTCAGATTTGGCCAAGGACTGTGAAATCTTAGGGAATGACCCTCTGCAACAAAGGAACAAGCCTATCAAGTAGACTTGCCCAATTCCAGATTCTGATGCCTTGGAAACAAGCAGAAGGGAACTAGTCCCAGAAGTTATGGATACCTAAAAATAAGAAAGTGAAGAGATGACATAAGGTAAGAACATTATATATTCATGGTATCACAGTGAGAGACGTCCTGGAAGAAACTTGTTAAGAGTTTACTAAATTTCCTTTCAACAGAAGATTCATTAGATCATAGTAAACATTACTGACGAGAGAATGCATTGTTCATTGAAAAATATGCTTGCGGTTTTTGTTGATTTCCCTCAGAGAGTGGTATAGGTCCATCAGTTGGATACTTGGAAGGGGAAAAAATGGTATAAATTTTAGTTGCTGTAGAATTCAATCAATAATTAATATATATATATATATATATATATATATATATATATATATATATATACATATATATATATATGTTTAGGGTTGATCACCCTAAATTGAGGTTATCCCTCCCCCCCCCTTCATGGGGTACATAAAAGACCAGTGAAGTTGGTAACAATGCAGCGACGGTGGCGCTGTATGCACAAAATTTAGTAGCAGTAGGAGAAAATGGGCGACTAAACCCACACGAAGTAGACGATTTCTACTCTATCCTCTTCAAGACCACCTTTCTTGCTGTTCTACCATGGGAAGAGGAATGGAGTAGAACACCGAGGCCCACCGGACACATGGAGGTGAGAAGTGTAGCAGCCGGCCGACCACCGTACCTCAGCATCCAGCCACATCAAGTAAACGATTGTAGAACCATTATACGCCAAACCCCCATCTTTATATACTGGTTAAATATAATTATAATTAATTTCATACAGTCCACTTGTTCTTTCAAATACCCAATAAACATATGTACCATATCATATTAAAAATGACGGTACATCCCATTCAATATGCATATTATATATTAGCTTAATGGTAGGTAAGGGACGGGGTGGCCGATGGGGGCAACGCGTGTGTAAGAAAACACACATTTCCCGAAAACTTGATAACCGAAGTTATAAATGAAAATATTTACGAGTTCGCGTCTCGGTGCCAGAGGGTCTTTTAACTCTGGGAAAACCCCCGTATAGCATAAAAGATAATCGATCTTTATTAGGAAGCTTTTGTTTGTTTTTCTTTTTTCTTTTTTTTAACTGAATAACATTACATTTTTCAACTTCAGTAATATCTTGAAACCATTTTTATTATATTTATCATTCTTAATATTGTTTATATTGATTTTTTTTAGAAAAAAAAATCAAACTATTTATGTATTTTTATTTTGTTTTCTCTTCCTTTATGTTTTATATAGCAAGGAACAAATTTGGTTCGTGGCTGTCGGTCTACCAGTTCGTTGAGAAATCCAAATGGGGACACCGTTTTCAATGAAACCTAATATGAAAATATTAGACCCATTTCCGAGGGTTCTTGCCAATGCGCCCTAGGAGCCGAGAAAAAAATAGTTTATACAATTTACAATATTTTTTTATATATCATTAATTTTTTTTTTCTGAATTTGCTCTGCATGGGTTTCTAAGTTATTATATATTAATTGATTTGTGTATAATAAGAAAAACATGTTGCTAATTGTATAACCGAGTATAAAAACCCAGAGATCATAGTTGGGGAACCGTGTTATCATTAGAGGCGGCAGTAGGGTTAGGCAGTGTTAATGGGGGCCGCCATAATCCTTTATATTTTACAGCTGCTATTTTTATTTATCGCTAAATACACACACCCACGTACATAGATTCAACATAATTCTATAAATGTTCAAATTATCATATACTAAATAATTAAAAATTAATTATTTCTAAGGCACTAGATAAATAAATATCGCGCAAAAACGTTCAAAGGCCGCAACTATATCATAGAGGTGACATGCGGCCTCCGAAGCCGCGGTTCCCCACCTACGCCATAGACGCTTCAGGTAAAGTAGGCCAAGTAAGGTTTTGTCATGAAAATACGATTAAGATTCGTTTTTAGCGTCCACTTAAACTCTTGGGTATTGCTTAGATTAGGCCCCCCTGTGATTTTCTAATGATATTTAGTAACAGTTGTTATGAAACTTGATATAGAAATAAAATCACATGTCTAAATATTATTCAATTTAGTATTGTTTGTGTAGTTGCGGTTATAAAGTGATAACACGATGAATATTTTTGAATTTTACATTTATGCAAAGAAGAGGAACGATCCAGGATTTTCTTTGAAGAAAGAGGAATTCTACCTAATGAAAGCTATTGTAAAAAGACCATATTATGACATTTTACGAAGATAGGAAAAAATATAGGTGTTACAATAGACAATACCGGTATGAATGTGGAATGTATGTGGATACGTGGTTATGTGACAGCAGGTAATCGTTAAGTAAAGCCCTTTTATTCATTTACTCATGGGCACAGGAGTATACAACGTTCGAATTCTGTTCCAAAGAATTCAATATGAGCTCCGCTACAATTATAGATAGGAAAAATTATCTGCTAGAGATGTGCGCAGCTAGCTTGCTGAAAATCTCGATTGTTATTGGAGGGAAAGGACTAACAGTTGAGATAGACGAGTCCTGTTTTTTCGTCCAAAGTATAATGTAGGATGCACCTATCAACATAAATGGGTGATTGGGCGGGATCTGTAAAACTAAAAAGTGTTTTTGTACGCAGTGCCCGGTAGAAGAAGAGAAACACTGGAGGAATGCATAAGAACATCATTTAGACCGGGTTCTATTATGTCTGATCTGTGGAAGTCCTATTGTGGGATAGAAGGAATGATTGGAAAGGACTACAAGTATTGTACTGCAAATCACTCCAAAACTTTCGTCGACCAAGAGACTGGTGCTCACACTTAGAGAGTTGAGTCTGTGTGAGCGAAGGCCAAAAGGAGAAACAAAAAGTAATGTAGGACTCATCGTTCTATATTAGACTCATATTTATGTGAGTTCATGTGAAGGTATAGAAACTCAAATGAAGACATTTTTGATAAAATCCTTAAGGCCATAGTAGAATCTTGGCCTTTAGAGGTACCTGGAATAACGCATTAAAAGTATGTTAGTGTTTTTGGATATGTATAAAAAGTTCCTATTAAATAAACCATATTTTTGTTTAACCCATATTTTTTAATTTATCAATAAGTAACTGTAGATAAAATAATTGGCGGGCCTAATTTGGGTCTAAACAAGACTCAAACTATTTAATACGAGCAAATTTGTTTTGAAATAAAAAAATATAAATTTTTGGACGTAATTTTATGGGAGCATTTTATTTCATGCCGTTTACAATATTCATAACTCCTCAGAATTTTCTCCTATGTCAACATTACTACAATCGTTGAAAATCTAAATTAATGTTCATCAAAATTATAGCAATAATAGTCGTACAACTGGCCCTAAGTTTTAAATATTACAGAGTATTATAAATTATACGGAATAAAGAAAGAAAAATAACCCAAACGTTTTTATTTTTATGTGGACGACCCAATGCATCATGGAATTTATCTAATATTGACTACTAGAATGGTGTGCTTATATGCGAGATAACACCCTTTCTGCTCTCGTGTGTGTATGTCTTCGAAAAAAAATAAAAATAAAAAACTGTAGAAACTAATTTCGATTTTTTGGAGAGAAATGTATTTCATTTGGGTCATTGGTTACTTGAATTATAGCATCACTTTGAACAAATCAACTTAATGGCTGAAAATTAATAACTATGTGGATTTCAGTTTCAACAGTATAGGTTATAAATACTATAAAAGAAATTTCAAACCTATTAATAGGTTATTAAATGCTTCGAAATTGCGTGATGTTTCCTTTTCAATATTTTGCGTTCTGGCTATATCAAATTTCATTATAAATTGATGAATTAGATTATTCTTGGGTTATTATTATTCCCATGATTATGTAAGAGCCATTTTCAAACACTGATAAATAATGATACATTTGTTTGGGTTTAATTGCATTATGTAATCTCAGTAGAGCAGGAAGAGCCGGTTGTCGCCCACGTTACTAACTTATTCTAGCCTGAGCTAGAAAATTGAGAAATTCATTCATTTTTGGTTAAATATATTTAAGCAAATAACTAAAAAAACATATGATAACAAAACTCACATAGGATTATAGTGATTAATACTATAAATTGTCCTTTTCTCTTTGGGTTTTATAACCCATAATTCAATTCTCAAACAAAATTTTATCAACGTGCTCTCATGAATGAAGTGGCATTTAAATTAAATTTACAGGGAGGGTCCAAGCCAGTAAAACAATAAAAAAATAATCAGCTGAAGACTAGATATTAAATAATCTATAACACGTGATTGAAATCTATGGCACTATTACCGGATTGCTACTCTCGCTTCTTCTCACTAATACATTAGAAGAACGAGTGGTACCAACAAAAGACTGAATATATCGCTAAAATATCAAAACCAAAGTATCGATACTTGTGAGTACTCAATTCATGTTACCACAAGTATAATTAATCACTTATCATTTTGAGTTCTACCAATGGGTAGTTTCTCTTCATGTTGTGCATGTCATGTTACCAATATCACATTTACTTGTATTTTTAATGTAATACAGTTGTAAATTTCATTAAAATAAAAAATAAAAATCACTTATCATAAAAATAATTTATATTGTTTTCCGATACCAACGAAGTAAAATTACGATGCTAATATAGCAACAAAAGTATCATTATCAACGAACATCGCTAAAAGCAAAATATCGGTTTTAAAAAAGCTACAGTTCTTGGTATGTAATTGGTTCTAAAAAAATAGAAGTAAATAATTTAGTTTTATTTACTTATATAATGTATCGCTAATTTGAGTATTTTATAATAAAGTTGGATAATCATTACAGTTTTAATGTTACTACAGAAATATCGATACCTTACTAATATTAAAGAAAAACTATCGAAACTTCTAGTACTAACTTTATTTTTCACTTATTCGAGTATAATTTATTTAATTAATTTACATAACAGCTAATACTTTAAAGTTTCCTATTTCCATACAATACCAATACCACATTAAGTTAAAACAAAAGTATGTGTACTTTTTTTTTTTGGCAATACAGACCTTATAGATCTTTTGCCTCTTTAACAAGCCTGCTACATCTTTGTCTGTCATGGGCTATTTCTTTCCAATTATCTGCACGCAGCTTCATTGTGGAATCTATCTGTCCATCTGATTTTTGGCCTTCCATGTGCCCTTTTGTCTTCTATTGGGGAAATCATTGTTACGTAGAGGCTCTCTGATGGATTGCTAGGAGCTACATGCCCCACCCATCTTAATCTCCATGCCTTCATATCGTGGGATATTGATTGACCAATTTCTGTAAGCAGTTCTTTATTGGTCTTTATTTTCCATGTGCAAGTACTCTGATTCCAGCTATCGTGCAGAGGAGTTTTCTCTCAAATCTTTCAATAAATATTTCTAGGATGGTGTTTAGTGTCCAGCTCTCACTGCCTTATATCAGAACTGTTTTTATCATGGTATTGTAATCGTTAATTTGAAATTTCTTGAGATTTTTCAGGATTTCAATACCTTGAAAGGGAGAAGAAAGTTTGCGCTAGTTATAAGCTGGTCTATTTCTGACGCGTTGGTCAATCACAGAGGTTATTGTGAAGTATCGGTACTAGAGAAGTATAAATAGAATATCGGTTCCAAAATAAGCATACTTCAGAGTATTACTCTTACTACTTTAGATAATCCTCAGAAAAAGTTTCATATTCGGGATTGAAATTTTGTGAAAGTGAACCATCTTCGAAAATTCTCCAAATTTTCATGTGGCTTCCAGGGGTCATAAAAAAGTATATGCAATGAAAGACATAGCTTTAATAATTTTTTTGATCCAAATTCCATTTTATCAAGTTGCTAGTGGGGCTCTAATGAGAATTACTTGCAATAATAAGAATAGGAAGTGAATAAATAAAAGAAATAGAATGAAAACCAGAATTATAATAAAGTTCAGTAAAACTAAACTTTTTTAGACACCAGTTATCAAAAAAGATAACACTCTAATTAGATTTCACAAAGTAGGTATTCAACGAACAAAAAATTGATGGCTAAATTGAAATGAAACAACCTCAGTCAAATATCTCTCATAGGTATATAATATAATTAAGTTTCAACTTGTTAAGCCTATTTGGAATATAGATATCATAAAATACAAGACTAGAAAAAGTATAAAATATAGAATCCCACATTGCAGTTATACACACAGAATATTAAAAAAAAATTTCCAAAATAAAATACTTTAAATTTGTTTGCTGAAAAATTTCCTTTTTAAGACATGGTGCCATTTACTCCGACATACACAGCAGTAGCAAGGATTAAATCTAGATTATAAAGATGGAGTCCCTTGGTCAAACCTTAGTGAAATATCTCATTTTACATTTTTTCATTACCACCATGTATCATCATTATCGTTGGGAAATTATTTGTCTGTGGTAATGAAAAGGATCGAAGCGCGCGAATGAGAAAGTTTGCCAACGCTAAGTGGTTAGACGGAGGGAGAAACACTTTATTTTCATAAAATGTAAAATATAAAGGATTGCTGCCCAATTATAATAAATTATAATAATAAACAATAAATAAATAAATAAAAAAAAGCGTACTTGCTAAGGCATTTATTTACAAAAAATAAATAAATCAGAATGCAAAATAAAGATTACAGTGCAGTAATGAGACTAACAAACATAAATACTTGAGTAGCACCTTTCCACTGTGAAACTTTAACAATAATTGTTGTAAATCGGGAGAAAAAGCGGTTTCTCTTGCTTCGGCAGTGTTGGCCCTGCAACATGATCGCCCAGGTTACATTAAATTTCCTTATGTAGGTTGTAAGCCAGAAAAGATTAATAGAAGCGCGGTAACAGAAGATTCATCAGTAACAAACTTTCTCATTAGTTATTCATACTACCAGTTATATAAAAAAAATTATATAAATTCATTCCTGAATGGGGCATAGTATGGCCTTTTTGTTTCATATACTTTTTCAGTAAAAATAACGTATTCTAAGTTCTCAGATAAGTTAATAACTTTTTAAGCGAAATTGATTTCGTTACAAGTAGTGGTAATCTAGGTCTTTAAGAACACAAAAACAAAATAAAGTACTTTTTTTAATGGATGTAGTAGACAGTGATGAGAAGAATAAAATAAAAAAATATTATTTATATAAATAATAATTAAAATAATTACTAGAGTTATACTACAATTGAGTTTTTATGAGAATCACTCTTTTATCGGTTATGAAATAACAAAAAAATACCAATGAAGTAACGATTGAATTTTCGGAGTGAAAACTTCTAAAGAGGAAACAAGGAGGAAAACAATGAAGATACAAAGGCAAGTGTAATTTTATATGATCTACAATTTTTCAAATTGTAATTTCACTTGCACTGTTTTGAGAAGAAAAGGTAAATAAAATTTCTTAGCAGGGAGGAGTTTATGTGGCATTGACCTTGGGAGGGATTGGTACCCCTGCATTTAAGAAAGAAACATACCTCTACAAAAGAGTTAAATATAGTTTACTGATTCTCAAATATCAAAGGGACAAACAGCGAAGTGTAATATTATCAAAAGGCTGGAACGAAATAGCCTTATTGCTGACTATCACACAAAGGACAACTAAAATATTGTAATATTACCATTAACTTCAAACCTCTTTCCCCATAGGAATTCAATGACTTCACTTTTTGTCACCTCCCTTTTCCAAGAATATCATTGACACAACTTGTGTGAATTCCCTGGAGTTACATTCACTCAATTAACCAGTAATTCTCTCAGCATGTAGTTATATGAATAATTAGCTGTATCAATGAAGATTTTTTATGAATGATCTTATTTAACATACATTTTTAATTCTCTATAATTGCTAACATTAATATTATCTCCAATGAAGTAACTTGTAATTATTTTTACTTAAACATATATGCCATTATCTAAAAGCAGTGGTAAACTATTTGAAACAATAAGAACATCTTAATTATTTCAGACATTCAACAGTGTCAAATCAAAGTGTAACCAACTAAAAAATTTAATTTTTGATGAATAAGATCTTAGTAACATCCATATATTTCTGGAGCAGAACGTATTGAGTTGGCACTGAGGACAGTATACTGCTGCGGAAGTACACACGGAGGAGATTTCTGTGGACTCTACACCGCTGGAGCAGTGGAGTTGTATAATGATGATATAGCTCAATGTTAGAAGCATCCAATGGTGCTTAAAAGAATTTAGAGTACTATTAGATTATTACATCAGTGTATAAAACTGGAATGGGTTTTCTGAGAATCATTTGTCTGTTTTCCAGCTAACTTATTCATGGTGTACTTAACTTATGAGGCATAACATTGTTCTCATTAGTAATCTCGATATTTCTTTAAATTAGTTTCACACAAATTATTTTTTTTGGGGGGGAGGAGGGGAGTAATCATATATATTTATTAAAACATAAACTTCATGAATTGAGTCAAAGAAAAAACCATTAAAATTGTATCGTAATACATTAAAATGAATTGTAGGGGAAGGATATGGTCCGGTCATAAATAGATTAAAATAGTGGCAAAATTATTTTATTTCAAGTCCACGTTTCGACCAGACTTAGCAGGTCTTTTTCAGCAAGGAGTTTCAGTTAAAACTTGCTGAACACACCTCCCTGAATAAGACCTGCAAAGCCGGGTCAAAATGTTGGCTTGAAATAAAATAGTTTTGCCATTATTTTAATCTATTTATGACTGCCACCACAGACCCATCTCCTTCCTCTAAAATACAACTGTCAACTATTAAGTATTCCACATTAAAATGAATTGTATGCACATAGCTTTTTTATATAAATTAAATGATAGAATAACAATAAAGGATGGGATTTATACAACAAAAACAATATAAATACAAAAAAAAACTTATAAATTGTTTAGTTACTCAACATAAAGAGAGCGTTCAGAGGCTAAAACACTAATTCTTTTAATGGGACCATCTGCTTACTCCATCGCCGCCCATCAGCATTCCAAGCTTGCCTTCTCTCATTGTCACTTTCATCCAATAGGAAATTATAAGGGAATGTTAAGAAATAAAAATGAATAAGTCATTGTGTAATACATTTATTGATACATGGAATATATGTATTTTTTTCCCTTTTCTCACACCCATGTGATATCATTCATTTGTAAGTAAAAGGTATGGAAAAGGCACCTAACAAGGCTATTTACCTACATATTAATGATTATATTTCATCGTATATATATAATTATATGTACAGGCCTCCTGCATAAATATAATTATACATATATAAGAGATGAAGCACAATAACTATACAATGGAACACTTAATTTTCTTTTTAAACACCCAACATAACATTTCTCTGTATCATATACAAAATACTTCTTCAAAGCTTCTATGTTTTTCTTGTTCATATATATTTGTTGCAATAAGAGACTTTCTTTATAAATTACATATTATTAGTTTAGAACACGGGAAATGGTCTTTTAACACTTATAATACGTTAAAACATAACACCATGTTGACTTTGGTTGAATTGACAACATTTTGCCAGAAAACATCTAAAGAATTTTTCGAACACTACTTTTATGTACAAGGATATATTGGTCCGAAATAGATACTGTATAATTCTATCTCGTATGGAAGATAGAGGAGGCAGGGGCACAAAAAAAGCCGTATTCATTACAAAAATACTCAAAACTGTTTACAATCTATATTATCAAATATAGAACAATTTAATTTTTTTTCAAAAACTGGATCCGGAAATGCAATACCCGAACCAGTTAACAAAGTTCATGAACAATCAAACACACCATGTTTGATTTCTACATTTTTGGTTTTTATTTATAAAAAACACATAAATAAAAATTAATTTCTTGATAAATTTAATACAAGCAGTAATTAAAAGTTTATAAATTGTGCTTTACACCTTGTCTATGTGATGTTTCTAACTTAGAAGAAAAACATGTAAATATGTGCTTATTAACGATAACATATATATATTCATATTTTTTTTGTTTTAAATTCGACTACTACAAAGATAACTAGTCAGAAAAAATAAAAATAGACATCGTATTTTAAAATAAGATGTCTTAAATATCTTGTTAACTCTTTTTACAAACATAAATAATATATATGTATATAAATAAATAAAAAGGTAAAGAACAAAATTAAAAAAAAAAAAAAAAAAAAAAGATGAATATTTACAGAAACTTTTGATAACAAACAAAATAGGGAAAGAAAAACAACCCTAAAAATACAATGGTAAGAGTACGATATAAGTAAAGGAAAAAAATAACCAATCTTATAATAAATTAATAATCAACATCTCTATAACATCTTTAACTTTTCAATAATAAAATAAAAATAACTAAAATAACAAAAGATATAATAGTTAGTTACTACATAGTTATTCTTAACATCAACATTTTAAAAACACTCATATTACATACAAAACATTTAAAACTGATATATCATATCAAATATCTAGGAATGTAGATCAGGAGGATTCTTTCGGACACTTAGTCTCAAGGAAACACAAATTCTATTTTTTAAAACATAGATATATATTTTTATTTTGGATAAGGACAGTGGTTAGGACCGGGGATGAGGTTGAGATGGGGGTTTCTTTAGTATTTTCTTTTGTCTGAAGTCGTAGATCTGTCGACAAAAAAATATGAGGTCACTTGATACTTGGTGGGGAGGTAACTTGTCTGCTCTAGGGTAGCCGTCAGGCAGTGGTGGCACAACTGTATGGCATTTACTACCACCATTCACTAAGCTTTTGCGGTATCTATAAAATATATATATATATATATATGTAAATAGATAATAATAAAATAAAATTATTAATTTTATTATAGATTAAGAATTTAAAATATTTCATCAAATATCATTGGATTTCAGAACAATAGAATGTCGATTAAATGAACCTTGGATATGAAACCAGTTGAACCAAGATAAATAAAGAAATAAAAACCGAATCAAGCCGAATAGAAATAAAAATTAGAAAATAAAATTTATGGTTCCAATTATGTACCTTGTGCAATTAATTTTAATGACGACTAACTAACTGTAGGTTCAACTCCATTCTTTTCAGATATTGGATAATGTTAATTTATAAATTCATGAACCGAACTATACTTGGTTAGATTCATTTTCATGGTCCACAACGAATAACTTTCAAAAGGATTAATGGCCTTTTTGGACATTTTAATTTAATGTGTTATTTTACATTATTAAAAAGTAAGTTTATAAGTTTTAATATCATAATTCTTATTAGAAATTTATTCATAGAAATGAATCTGATAGAGATACCTACCTACAATACTCGTGGTATGTTAAAACATAACACTTATCTTCAATACAAGCAACGCTATTCGTATCCTTATGCTTAGAGGCAAATATTTCATCAGGAGGCTGGTCAGGAAGTCTTCCTTGTTCAGTGTGCTCCGGCCTATAGTACCAAAGTACTGAGACCATCATTTCTCCTAAACAAAAATAAGTAAACGAATGATCTAATAAAACTCAAACAAGCAACAAATTATTTTTCAATACACTCCTTGACATGAAAAAACTAAATAATGTTATTAATAACGGTTTATGTGAGCTGTGTTAGGATTAGGTGGAAAGGACATTACAGTACTCAAGAGGTCTCTAAAAACCACAGGGTTGCTATACCAAAGATTGATAGGGATAGTGGTAGGAGTGATGACCCAACCTTGTGTACTTTAATGAGGAATCTCAATCAGTTTTTTCAGGATGTCTATAACCCACAGAGATTTGATTCAGACACCTACACCTGTTTTAGAGAGAAAAATATAGGTTCTTGCCTGCCTGCTGACTTAGAGCAGTCATAATCCATGGATCTAAACCGATTATTTCTCACTGCACTTGAACCTGGATAAGTCGTTGGGAAGAATACTTGACCTCAGATGAACGATGAAGTAATTGACCACAAAGGAACTGATCATGGCGCTGCAGCCTCATGGATGACCAGCCACTGCACGATGCAGATGATGTATAGCTGTATATATAGCTGTATGTATAGCTTTCTCCAGGCTATCTCTGCTCCCGCAAGCAATATATGTCTGTCAGTAGTAGTATTGCATAGATAAACATTCATATAATCTACAGTGCCGGATAAAAAAAAAAAGGAGATAAGTTTTTCTCCTATACTTAAATTCAAACTAATAGTTCCCCATAATTACACCTTTGTTTGTTTTGTAAAAAAAAAAAATGCAATGTTATGAATCAGGCTTTTCTAGTTAACTGTTTAACAGTTTTTCATGGGTTCTAGAGGGCCCAATTTGTTTCATTAATTCTTCAATTTTAAATTAGACTAAAATTAGTTTATTTGATTTCCTTGTCATTGAAATTTCCTGTAATACTTCTCTTCTACTTTATTTCTGTAGTACCTCCTCCTCTTGTTCTGTTTAACCTACATTTGAATCAATTCTATTCAAATTTGTCCCCCACTACCCCAAAATAGTCATTTCTGTTGACAGAAACACTAATTTCCTTTCAAATGACAGTGATAAATCTTACTTGAAAAACACATTTTATTCTATCTATCTCTTCATTCAGCAGCTAAAATAGGTACTATAAGTTCTCTAAAACACCACTTAATGCTTCTAAAATTGAATTGCCCAGTAGAGTAGTATACAGCAGTCATTCCTAAACAGGGAAGAATACTCTATTGTTGTCCTAGGTTCAATATATCAATACCAATATCAATAACCAGCAATATACCAATGTCAAAGGGTTAATGAGAATGTGGTAACCAAATGAAACAGTTACTTAGTACTGACTTAACGTTTGTTGGTGACTTATCTATCATGTCCAGACCTCATCCCTTACAAACATAAGTCCTTTCAATTATGTTTTGCTCAAAAATCATTTCGCTTTATGAAACTTTAGCTTGAAAAGTTAGGAACCTTAGTTGATATTTTTTCTTGTTATTTTCAGAAGCTTGTTATTTTTTCTTGTCATTTTCTTAAATAATCTTGAAAAAATAAAGAGCTTACTTTCAAAAGGACACATATCCTATTTTTTCGAATAAGGTAAACAAAGAAATGAGAATGCTAGTACCATAATTATCAGCGCTTTCTGGATATAGTATTAAATATAATTTGCAAGAAAAGTAGCATAGTAGGAATAAAACTTTGTTAATTGAAACCTATAGAAATCATGTTCATACTTAGTTTTGTGCTTTTTAAAATCAGAATACATTGATATGATCCTTTTTGAAAAAAAAATTCTTCTTAGTTAAGACAGAAATTTGATTATTATTTTCTTGAAGGTATGTTCTGTATAATCTTCCTCCTGGAGCAAATGTTTTTACTAGTCATGTTTGTTCCGGGGCTCTGCCACATCTTTAGGAATATTCTATTTTCTATTCTTCCTAAATATTGTCCTATATATAGGACATTATGTTTTCATTTTTCTTAATTTTTGATTTTTTAATGTATTTTCTCAACCAAAAGCACAGTTAGCAGATAGAAGACTGTGGATTCAAACAGAACCAGTAATCTCGATTTTTTTTACATAAGTAGAAGAAAGTCCTTTAATCAAAACAAAAACAGGTGAACTGTATCAGCAGTTTTGTTTTGCCCCAGCACTAAACAATAAAATAATCAAGATAGTGGATTAATAATTGCCTGAAATAGATATATTGAAAAGAAGTTGGTTGGAGTGTTCAGTCATTCATGTAGCAAACAAAAAAAAAATAAATAATTTTTATTTTTGCGGACATTTCGGCCCAAGATTCAGACCTCCATTAAGGTTAACAAACAACAACATAGATATGAGAAATTAGTAGACAGTAAAAATAATAATAAGTAGGTAAAAGACATAGTCTAATAACATGTAGGTAGAATATTAATTATGGGTTAATATAATTTTATTGATAATTAATGTTAAGTTTATAATATTTAAATGTTATTAGACTATAACTTTAATATACATATTATTATTTTTACTGCCTACGAATTTCATATATTATATATATATATATATATATATATATATATATATATATATATATATATATATATATAATTTTATCTTTCCATAGCCCTGATGAACCTTGGACCAAGACATCGGCAAAAATAAAAATAAATATTGTTTATTTATTTTTACTTTGTTACTTGTTTGACTGAACACTCCAACCAACTTCTCTTCCATTAAATCATCAAGATTTTATAAGTGATAAAGTAAGATAGATCAGTCTCCACTGACTCCTTTCAACATTGTTTTCTTACAGAACATGAATAGAGTAGAATATTTAATGAATCCATCAAGAGACAGCATAGGGTGTAAACTGATGTTTGGCATCAGTAGAATGGTGATTAGATTTTTTGCCAAAGGATGTGCTTGTTGTATGTCAAGAAATAATAGTTTAGTGTTTTCAAGTGATCAAGCTTACTTAAAAAAAAAAAAAAACCTGTATCACTACAACCCATGAAGGGTCTGGGGTTCAGTACTATTTAGGGAAAGCACTGTTTCTAGGTCAACGGTTGTGCAAGGAGGTGATTTGACCGAGATCACGCTCAACCGCCAGGTTTTCCCCCTTAATCAATTATTTAATTAAGGGTACCCACTTTATAGAGGCTGGGTGTGCCCCAGGAGGGACTTCTGACCCAAGGTCGCCCCACGGCCAATGAAACAGAAAAATAAATTTTCTGCCATGAGCCGGGGTTCGAACTCGGGACCTTTGCATTGGAAGCTCAGTGCCCTACCACTGAGCTACCCCGCTCCCATAAGCTTACTTAAACAATCCATAAAAACTAATGACAATCTTTTTATGAATTTGTAATTCATTTATCAGTACACGTTTTTTATCACATAACTATTTCTCCATTAATTTCACCTCACTTTCAATCTGGTGTATTTTGCACAACCATCAGTAGCAGATGAAAAGAAACCAATTCTAAAATCACTGGCAAAAACTTGGTCATCATTCAAAAATGTTAAATTAAGTTTTGGTGACATACAGAACTCTGGTATATGCTTATATGGTATTTGTATATGCTTAAAAATTGAAACAATATAGAACGTGAGAGCATTTGGTAATAGGAGGGTCAAAGAGGTCAGTGCGCAGTTTATATATGTTCAATAATGTAAGTGAAGGATGTAGTGTCAACCATTTATAGATATTTTGAAAAAATAATTTCAAAAAGAACTTTGCTGTTTGACACAACTAAACAAGGATGGATGGTTTTATTTTTTTAAACAGGAAAAAGCTCAAAAATATATTAGGGAACTTGATCCTTGGAACAGAAATATATTTGTTCAGTGTATCAAAATGAAATTAATAAATAGAAAATCATTTTTTATTTTATGAATAAAAGCCGTTTTGAAAGTAAGCTCTTATATAGTGCTGTAAAGAAAATACCATCATCAGGGTTCTCCCACATGGCAGATACTTTTGCTACAAATGGCAGATTTTTTCTGTGTCCAGAACGGAGTAGAATGCAGTCCGTAGGTCGAACTACATCTCCTTCCCTGTGCCTCATGGCAGGAAAACACTTCCTTACAACACCAGTATCTTCGGTCTGCAATTAATAATAAAGACATATTAAGTAATATCATAACTTAAAAATAAAAATCAGTGTAATACATATAATAATTTAAATTATCAAGGTATTATATAAGATTCCTTTTAACAGCCTTCAATAAAACTACATTAGCAATGTCTACTTAACTTGAAATTAGAAATTAATTTCAAAATTGATCAGCATAAACTAATGGAACTATTAATTTAAATCACCCAAGGCAGATCAAAAAGTCAATCAAATCCCATTGCGTATTTCATGTAAAACAAAAGTTATGTTGAGGCTGAGAGATTAAATTAATTGAAAATGAATTCATCATTGGAAATTGGAAAAACCTTTAAATCAATATGAAATAATGGTAATTTTTAAAAATTAGAATCTTCAATAAACTGTCAACATTAAACATACCGATTATAGAAGATATTTTTAGTTTTAAATTCTACAAATATTTAAGTAATTTAATTACATCTAAATTAAATTAAAATAATTTATTACAGCTTACCAACTTCTGGATATTTTAGATCACAATTAATACCAACAAAAAATTATGTCTATAAAAGCTCAAAAAGCTTATATAAAGCTCATACAGCTGTTCTCTTCCTATTCTTTTTTTTTTTTTTAATTAAAAGAGCGTAGTTATAGACAATTATATTAAAAATTATAATAGATATTTCATCAACACGAAAGCATAATAATTTAAATGATTCTATAAATGCAAAAGAAATGATTTAAAATTTGACATTTTAAGATTTGAAATGAATACTTACGGTAAGAAAGACTTTAGCTTTAAAACTAACACCTTCCCAGGACCAACCATTAGACCACCTCAAATTAGGTTCTTGTAGCAAAGCTAACTCCATTTCATCTTCAGAATTTACTTCATCCTTTACAGACACAGAAGTTGACCGGTTTCTTTTGGTTTTAGTTCCTTTAATAATTAATAATTATTTTAATTAATTAATTTAATTTTTATTTAATTAATAAAGTATAATAATTATTTTAAACATCTATACATTAGTTTTCAAGTTAATATATCATAGTCTGTCAAATTGTAACAAAATAATTTTTTATATAAATTCAAATGTTAATAGGATGAGTATATATATATTACCTTTTTTACTGTTTTTTGACAGTTTTTTACTCTTAGGGGTATATAAAGAAACAACTTTCTTTTTCTTTTTTGGCACTTCTAGTGCCTCAGTTGAGGTTCTTTTATTAGCTTTCCTCTTCATAGTTGCAGGGGGTACAACAACAGGAGCTGCTGGTGGAGCTGGGGGCTCAACAACAGTCAGCGTTGGGGGCGGAGTTACAGGCTTCAACAGACCCTGAGCTGGTGGGGACCAACTGTTATTGCGGGCAGTAGAAAGCGCGGGTGATGCTGGAGGAGGCATTCCTAATAGAAAAATAGATTTAATATTTAATTAAAAAATCTAATAAAGAAAATGTAATAAATATTTAACCTGTACTAACATAAAGCTTTGAGATAAATATATTTTTCCTATTTAGAGTTAGTTAGAATTAGAAATAATAACAAAATTTGTTCATAGATTGGTAAGTGGGTAAAGAGTTTTTTTTTTTTGTTTAATTGGATATTTTATATCCGTTTTAAGTAATTTAATCAAGTGATGACAACAATGTTTTGTTAAATGACTAAATTGTTATTTGTCAATAGTTAAAAGTGATTTAATTTTTTATTTATAAGAAAAATAATAAGGTCTCAATCTAATGGCTTTAATATTGCAACTCACTGTGGTGGTGAATGTATTGTCTTGCTTTTTAATGATTTAAAAAACTAAGGAAACTTTAATTGAAATAAATTAATAAATCGATTTCACAAAATATGTTTAGCTACTTGCATTGATTGACAACAGCACTAAAAAATAATCCTCTCAAAATTAATAAAATTTTGTGCCTGAGATTATAGTCAGTAAATAATTATTAAATATTCACAAAGTAATGATTTGATCTGGTGGAGTTAACATAGTCAAAATATTTACATCAGTCTCTTTTTAACAAAGCAATTGAATTCTGTGCAAGAAATTTTTGATTTTAAATTCCTAACTTAATGGTTAAGTGTAATGAATAAGAATATTTATTCCTATCCTTATAAGAAATAAGGATATTCTTACCTGCTGATCCTCGGGCGGGACTTGGGGGCCCAGGTGAGGCCCCCGTGGGCTCTGGTGGTAGTGCCAGAGCAACAGGGAGTAACGGTGCCACTTCATTTTGATTCTCAGCCTCAGACCTCTTACTGGCACCAGTAAGAGGTCCAGTATGGACGTTTTTTGGACACGACGATTGCATGGGGCATGGGCAAGTCTGGAAGGCTTGCTCTGGAATAAAAGAAAAAGGCATGTTAATATTTAAACCATTAATCAAAATAATTATAATGTGGATAAAGAATAATCAAATCTAAGAGAGCAGACAGATTACCATATCGCTTTTCCATACTATTCATGTAAATATATATAATAATATTGTTAAATATTCAAAGATAAGTATAAAAGGTAACCCAAAAGAAATGAATACAAGCTTAAATAAAAACTAAATTGGTAATAAAGTACTAAGAACCATAAAAAAATATATTTACAAAATTTATCACCGTATTAAATCCTTTACTTTATAATTATAACTATTTTCATTTATTTATAATTTTTATTTTTTATTATTATTATCATAAAGTATATGGTTTGCATTGGCCAAAAATATTTTCATTTTCATGAATTCATGTTAAAGATCCAACTGGATATCTAATAGATTCAATAAAAACAGGAGAAAGTGAAGAAAGTATATTAAGATTGTTTTAAAAATTATTAAGTAAATACTTCATAAAAAATTCATTAACTATGTTCGGCGTTCTGTATAAAAGGCAAAACCCAAAATGTCAATATTTTCCATGAGATCATATTTGGCAAAAACATTTATAAAGCCGTATTTTTTCGCCATAGTTACCATTCGCCATCAGCCGTCGCATCGAGTTTTTGGCACCCGGGGCGAAATTTTATCGGGCGTTATCCTCAAATCCATCACAATCGGGCAGCAGTCTATTTTTAGTTTATTATACTCTGCAAACTAATGGAACTATTTACAATCGGGTGGTTCAGCTATTAGCCTAGTCAGATGGTGTGGACATCGTGGGGCGGTCGTTACAGTCTGATAGAGAGGGATTTTTAGCTTTGTTGGAGGCCGTCAGAGCACTTGGGCTAGAAGTGAGTGAAGGCAAAACGAAACATATGGCCACAGGAGAAGTCCCTCGACGAGGCGAGACCATCAATATTGGTCCCTTTAACTTCGAGGAAGTAGCGCAGTTTAAGTATTTGGGGTCACTGGCAACACAAGACTATGCACCCGAGGTCAAGGTCAAGAAAAGAATATTGATGGCTAACAAGTGTTACTTTTGCCCATCTCAAGGAATTTACCTCTCGCCTTCTATCCCGGCATAACAAGCTACATCTCTACAAAACACTAAATCCGCCTAGTCTTGCTCTATGCCTCAGAAACATGGACGACAACTAAAATAACTGAGCAAGACCTCCTAATTTTGGAGAGAAATAATTCTTGGAAGAATATTTGGAGGAGTACACATCGATGAAAATTGGAGAAGACGGGCAAATGCCGAAGTTTACTCAATTTTTAATAAGAATGAAGCTTGGAAGAATGAGATGGGCTAGCCAGGTGGCAAGGATGGAGAATGAAGCAATCCCTAAGACGATCCTGACAGAACCTCTCTACGGCACAAGAAGAAGAGGGAGACCAAAACTAAGATGGTCAGACGATGTGGCAAGAGATTCAATGGATGTCCTGGGAGTCAGGAGCTGGATGATGGCCGCACAGAACAGAGATGACTGGAGGAAGCTGGTGGACGAGGCCAAGACTCGTCACCGAGTAATGATAATAATAATATTTATTATATTTAGATATAGTTTTGCATTTCTATTCACGGCCGATAAATCACGAGCCAGCTTGTTGTAATTTATCTAACAAGTGTGCAATAAGTTGTTATATCAGCAAGTGGAACTGAGATTAGAAATAATTATTCTGCTAGTCGTGTATGAATATCTAAGCAACGATAAAAAGGAAAGAAAAAAAAACCGTTGAAAATTTTCAAAAGTAATATGTATTCTTTATATTTTTGTTTTTGATTTGTGGCTCTTCACGCGATGGCTCTGTACTTAGAGAGGGATTTACAATGGAGATGTAAACTATAAAAAGTTATAAATTCAACATATTCTTACATGGGTGGCTCTTTATGTGATTAATCCATTACACGAATATTCGAAAATAGCAAAGTTGTTGATTTCGCCCTATTTACATAATACCGACGACATATACACGACTTAGACTCTACCAAGTTGGTTACTTTATAAAATGAAGCACCAGGTACTCACACTTAAGCTTTGTAAAGGTACTGGGTTGTAGTGACGCAAGTTTCACCCGACCTCAGTGTTGATTCATAAATAGTATAATAGGATAAACATAAATAACAATTTAAATTATCTGCCACATTGGGAATTGAATTCGGCCAGGGATTACTACTAAAGAAATTCTTCTAAAAGTTGCAGTAGGATTATTGAAGAGAGTTTTAGAGGAAAATCATCCATTTACGGATATATATATATATATATATGGACATATATTAGATAGAAAGTAAACTTTATTATATTAATTAATGAAGATCATTCATTATGAATGATTAAATGCCAGCAATATTTATGTCTATGTTTATGTTTACCACAAGACATTGTTATCTTCGACTAAGAAGTTGGGCTTATGTATTGTTGCAATCTGCTATATTGTATTGTGGGAATATATTTTTGCTATTTTTAAAATTCCTTGAATGTATATTTATTTGATTTTTTTATATATCTTCAAAGTGAATACTTTTTATCTATATTGTTATACAGTTGTTTTTCCTTTTCTGTTTTGTTTTTTTACACCATAATTTATATATCTAGTTTATCCTATTCATGAAAAAATAATATTTCTCCGATTTATTTCTATATTTGTATAGTACTTTATTTTGTTCCTTTTTTTATGTAATAATGTATTTGATGGAGCCAGACCTCCTGTAATTGTATATACTAATTACAAAATACAGAATTTTCATTCATTCATTCATATTATATTAATTAATGAGACAGTTTCAATTTGGAATGGGATACCATTGGTGCCAAATAATTCAATACCGAATAATAATGGAACATGAGATTCAATACTATCTGAATTTTTTAAACGAAAACTTGTTTTCAGTTTCAAAATAGCATTGTGAAATGGCCATTTTTCGTTAAGTTTATCTATAATCCATACAGTAACAATTTATATTGAAATAATCTTTATTATCTGAAATGGGTTATTTATATTCCAACTAGAGCAGGAAGGATTTTATTCTCTTGTCTCACCATACGAAGCAAAAAAATGAACTAAGTTACTTAAAGATTAGGAAAAGATAAGAACAATTTAAAAATATATTAATTTTTTATGGCACCAAGAAAACAAAACACAAATAAAACAATTTTTTTAGAGTAAATTACATGTGTCTAGAGGAAAAAGAGAAACTGTAATGTTTTCGAAAGTATTAAATAACAACTATCTACAATATATAAATTGTAGAGGATGATTAATAGAATATTGAAAATAGTTTTTTTTTTTAATTTTAATTTCGAAGGCAAATAATTAAATGATTATTAGGCCATCATCAAAAAATATTAAAGTATAAAATTTATAATTATGTAATTAGTACAATGTTTTTATTTCGTGGAAAACTGTAAATTATTGTTACAATAAGTCTCTTCAATTCAGCACATGGCTGAACCGAATTAGCTAACGTGTTAGAGGTTCTTTAAAAAAGAAAAAAAAGAGATAATATGATATTCTTTAAAAAAAAAAACCCAAAAGAAAGTGTGATATAGTGATATTATCGAAATTTGAGTCTCTATTTTAAAACTATCGAAATTCTTATTATAACTTCCGGTATTAAATTTCAAAATAATTAACCTTTCTTGTTAAAGAGACGAAGCCAGAAATGAGACAAATACCGCATCCATGCCATCTTCAACCGAACCAGCCTGTTGCTATCAGACCTCAAACTAATTCTCGACATTGACTTCGGCATATTCTAAATCCCCTGCAATAGAAACATTCAGTATTAAAGTAATAACTTCATATACTTCTATTTATCTTCCTAGTAGCAAAATCGCAAAGGATACTTTAACTATTAAAAACTTTAGTCACCTTATCAGAAAAGGAACTGAAACGAAAAAAACACTAATTCCAAGAATATAAACATGTAAGATAGTCTTACTGTATTGCGAAAGAACTATCTGTAAATGCGATTATGTGTTGCAAGAGCTAAGATTACCGACGAACGCGACATATTTGTTTTGTAATCAATTATTTGACAGTGCATTCATGTTTTTTATTTTTATTTAAGAAGACCATCATTACATAATACAATACAGAAATACGCAGTATTTCGAGAGTGTGGAAGAGAAAAAGATTCTACAGTGGTTTTCATCTACAGCCTGTATAGCTGAAACAATATTTTGTATTGAAATTAAAAGAGAAAAAAATATTAAATTAAATACTTCACCAGCAACCAGATAAATCGATAATAACAAGATAAAATAAATCACAAGTTCGCCTCCCGGTGCCGAAGGGGCTTTTAACTCTAGCATATACTCCCCGTCCCTTCTTCTAGCTCGGCAAAAAACCTATGTCGCCTAAAAGGCGGATAATTATTTATTTAAAAATAAAACACAAAATTAACTTCAAACATTGTTAATTTTATTTAGGTTCGAGATTTTTTAAAGACCGTTACTTGACCAACGATAATTAAACAGGAAGATTATTTGGTCTAAGTTTAATTACCAGTTTTACCTAAAATCGAAAGAACAATTTTAGTGGAAACTAAGAATTTTCTGGTCAATCTTATGCATAACATACATATTTAATTTTTTTTTTTTTTGCACTTACATTTATTTATCCGCACCTGTAAATTACAGCTATCGACAATCAGCAGATGTGCTGGCAAAGATATTTATAAATAAAAACAAAAAGTTCTTAAAACATTACGTCTCTGTATTATTATGCAATAGAATTTAACAGAAACTTAAAATACGTTAAGTAAAAGATTAGAAAGAGTAAAAGTAATTGCAATATTTTTCCTCAATATTTGTAGAATTTCATTTACAAGATTTTGCAACGTGGCGACATGTTACTTTTAATGTTGGTCAATTATAAATACATATATTGGCACCTCTGTTTTTACCATAAACTAAAACAAAAATTAATACTTTCCGAACATCAACTAATAAAAATCTGAAAAATAAAACGC